GAAACAAAATTCATATATATATATATATATATATATATATATACATATATGTGTGGCTGTGTGCATGTATCTTCTCATGTTATAATGCACACTCATGCATTATTATATGTGTGTATTTTTTTTTTTTTTTTTTTTTTTTTTTTTTTTTTTTTTTTTATTATTATATGTGTGTATTTTTTTTTTTTTGTTAAATATTATATGTGTGTATTGGTTCGTACCGTGGAATAAGTTCATTGAATAATATTCCCAAGTCACAATTCTTTCAAAATTTTTAAAGATTAAACAAACATATATTGGCTCATCTACGTTCATGTATGTCTACGAAAGTGCATGTGTGTATTGCATATATACGCATATAAACTACGTATACATATATGCATATCGAGCTTTATAAGTTATATCCAACAATCTAAAGGGACACGTCTTGTGTTGGCGTGTTCACTTTCCACTATCCGAGTTATAGGTTTCAAAATGATAAAATTTTATTTTCGTTTAATCGATAAAATGTTATAGTTTTGTGTTACTCAAAACTGACATATCTCTATATTGTGGATCGTATATCCCACATTAGAATCCTCAAACTTTCACGGTTCTTTCAAATTTAGTAACACAATCTTTACGGCGATTAAGAGAGTAGAACAACCCATAACCATTTTCAAATTATTATATCATTACTTTTTATGAACAAAAGAAACCCATAGTTATTTTAAGGGTTTGTTAGAAAGATAAACAATGATGGAAGATAAATTAACTTCAGTTAGATTGTAGATTTGAGATATGAAACAAGTACACTTAGTCCAAATAAACTAGATTTTGTTTTTTGCGAGAAAACCAATGCAACATATAAGTATTTGTTTTTCAGTACATGAAAATATATTTATGTAATTAAGTAGTATATTTAAATGGGATTAGTCTTATTGATAAAATATTCAGCGTGATTAAGCACATGGGACATTCTGTGTTTGCACAAACTCATAAGGGGAGAAAGATGGGCTTTAATTACACTCATTTATTAATTGCAAATGTTGGTCAAATAATTAATGTACTACACAACAAAGCTAGGAGAGAGAGATCGATGAACTGATTTTATTATTATTAAGACAGAGAAGTTCTTAAACAACTATAATTATCTTTGTTTGTTCTTAATAAAGTAAATCGAAGTCATAAAATATGAATTTTCACATTCTTCTGTTAAATAACACTTAATTAGAGATAAGTACATATTGGTATATGTCTTTGTCAGTTTCTCTTTTACACCTCGATCCGCATATACCACGAAATTGACGAATTGTATTTTGCATATTTTTGTGTAAAGGTAAATAATAATTACTATTATACTAGATAATAACGGGTTTTTTATTCATATTTACGTTCCGCTGAATATATTAGAAATCTATATGAATGCAGTAATTACTCTCTACCTCCTAATGAGTATTAAAAAATTGAAGCAGAATATGATTATTAGATAGGAAATACCAAAGATTGTGATTAGTGATTACTACGTGAGAGAATTATAGCCAAGGATTTAATTTTACAAAGACAAGATAATCGTTGTATAAAAGTCAAATTTTTAACGAAGTTCCCGTTCCGTGTCCGTGTGGATGTATCTAGTGTTAAAAAAAAAAAATCTCTTGTTTCTTTTTCTTGGTTTAGTTTTGAGGTTTTGATCAAATTCTTTTGTTTAGTTTTGATCTAAGTTAAATAAAAAAATAGTGATACGTACGTAACTGGGATATACTGTATGATGTTTTTTTTTCTTCTGTTTTTGTTAAATGGATATCAGCCGATGTTCTTTCCATAAACATCAAAATCTCTGTGTTTTTTATCCATAATACTAAGAAGTTCTGGGGCAAAACCCGTAATCGCCCAAATTCGAAACCACAACATGTAATATTAGTTTCGTTCTAAGCATTACTCGAGAAAATCTTTGTGTTTACCTTCCATTTTATACAAATTGATGTTTTAAACTTCAATTCTTATTTCATATAAATTGATGTTTTAAACTTTAGTTCTTATTTCATATAAATTGATGTTTTAATAGTTTTTATGTATATATACTCTTTCATTCATCCACATATGATTACCAAATAAATGATTTTATGTCATGGTATTTCGAAATATTAATTTAAAAACCTATGTTGAAAGAACGATAGTATATTAATGATGGTAACTTAATCGAATGAAGGATATAATATTTGTTTGCTTATGAAATGCATTTATCAGTTACAAGCTATAAAAACATGAGAAAACAAAATTTACAAATTGACAATACAAATTGTTGCATAAAATAACAGAAATTATTTTTTGGAGTATAGTCAACTTCATATACTTAAAGCAATTAAATTTATATAGTTTGAACTTATAATTAAAATTATTTTTTCTACGTATAGTTCCAAAAGTTTATGTAGAAAAAATTAAAATTATATATATATATATATATATAAGTCAATTATATTTGGTTTAGAATAGTTTTTTTCTGATAGTTATCTAAATCAGAATTGTCAATTTCATAAGTTATTATTATTTTTTATATATTGACTATAATTTTAAATGTAACTAAATTATTTAAACTGATCAAAGAGAGAGCATTACACTTCCACAACTTCTTAGGATATTCTTCCACCTAATAATTTGGTGATCATATTTTAAAAATAAAATATCAATGTCTAATGCAAGCAAGGATGAGAATTGAGACTTGAGAGTAGACTTTCTTTCTTCCATCAATTGGAAACTGATTTTTTATTTATTTTTAATCTCTTCGATGATTTCTTTTTCTTGAACTTCATCTGTCATTGTCAACGAAATCTGTACAGTTCTTTGAAAAAAAACTATTTTTTAATTTCGACTGCAATCTAAAAACAACTAACTTACCATCCAACCGGTGAACCAAACAAAAAAAAAATTACCATTTAGCCAATGTTTATTTGTCATCAATTTGGACAAATCTATCGTCGTTTATTTTGATGTAAATCATGTGTTAAGTAAATCATGTTCTTTAATTTTTCAATTAATGTATACTTAAAACTTGATAATTATGAGGTAGTTCTTCAGGTGGTTCAATATTTAAAAACAATTGTGGCTAGGGAATTTTACTTTGTTCCAATATTGATTTTAATTTTTTCTATTTGATGTGATTCATATTGGCTAGCTAGGTTATCTTTCAACGCTTTGATCTTATTACAGACTGGTTAATATATTCAACTTGGTGGATCTTTTTACTTTCTTCAAAAATGAAGAAGCAAACTTTGCTATCTTGTTCTTTTGTAAAAGCATAATAATATTGATTCATGGCGAACACGGTTAGTGAGCTTCTTTGGTTGAAAGAGATATATACTAGTTGTTATTGGCGGGGATCGTGCGGCACATATCTCTCCTTTTATTGTGATAGTTTATCTGCCATTCTGTTGAGTAAACCTTCAAGGCCTTGCTTAAGGCCCATGATACTTTTATTGAGGAGGTTAGAAGTAAGAAATATCTAGAAGATTTACCATAGTTTTAGGAGATATCTAATCCTATTGGGAAAAGGATTTACTAAGTTGAGTTTCCTATAAATACATGTCTTAGGGTTGAGTTGTAACCCAAGAGAGATTGTAAGTTTGTTTAGTTTTGAGAAGTTTCTAAACATCAATAAAGAGAGGAATACTTTGTTGAATTCTTGTGTTGAATAGCTTTAGGTTTCTCTTTACATTCATATCAGTGTGAACTGTTTTTCTAGTAATGGACAAAAATATAGAGACGAACTAACAACATTTTATGAGAGATGAAATCACACATAACACCATTTTATTATAGCATGTTTTTACTTCTATGCAACTCGCATATATTCTTACTTAGCTTAGACTCTTAGTCAGAAAGGGTTTTAACCATTTTTTCTCAAGTTGGGTATTCACAATATTCATACTCCAACTTGAAGAAGATTATTGAGAATTTGAGATATGTTATGTTTTGTATATATTTTATAATTATTTTCTATTTTATCTTTAAATTCATTTTCAAACTTGTAGAAAAGACATACATATATTTATTTTCATATTTATCTCTAAGTTTTTTTTTACAATGTTTTGAGTTTCTTGATCTTCTGATGTTAGTAAATTATAGGGCAATTCTCTAAAATACCACATTTTTAAGTTTTTGTTTAAAAATTCCATTACTAGGTTTTTTTCTTCTAATAATACCATAAATTTAATATTAAAATAAATCAAAATCTCTTTTAAATGTAGAAATATAAAACCTAAATTAGAAATAGGAAACCCAAATATAGATTCTTAATTTTATTTGTAATTCATTTTGGTTGAACGAATATTTTTATACAAAAATTTGTGGTATTGTTGAAATAATAAACTAGTGGTGGTATTTTTAGAACTAAACCTTAATAGTGTAGTGTGTTTTAAAATTTCCTTTAAATTATATATAAAGATATTTTTAAAAATTTTAAGAAATTAGAAAACTGGTTTAAGTAATTGGATTTAAATATTTTAACTTCAGACTACACAAACCATGAATAAAGAACCAATTAATTATTGATGGTCCAAATCCAATAGTTAAATGATTCATCTATGTGCTGAAGAGACAAGCATTTGCGTTTTCCGCAGCAATTCCAATCGTAATTGACCACTGTGAATGTCTTAAATGGTACTAATACTCCCACAATGATTCGGTTAATTATTAAATCTAAACAGAAGTTAATCAAAAAAAACAAAATGAATCTAAACTAAAACTCCAATAATTGTTTTTACCTAGTGAATCGTGATATTAGACTATACAAATCGTTGTGCCCCAAAAAAAAAAAGACTGTACAAATCATTTTCCAACCATTGGTGTTTGTGTTTACCATTGGTCAGTTAAAATTTTTATACAATTTGTTTTTTATCTGATACCATCTGAAATAATAAATTATTATAGTAAATTTTTGGGAAATTCCACCGGAGAAATCAATGAGATTGGTCTCAAACGATTATTTTAATTTTTACCATTAACCAAAAACAAAATTATTAAAAATGATAAACTCCAAAGATTTATCAAAAGGATTTTTGTGTGCTCGAATCACAGTCGTGAGATGAAACCGTCCCCTGTTATAACACAACACAACCAAAGCTCTCACTCATCTTTCATAATATCCTCTTATTGGTTACATAGAAATTACAAACCATAATAGTTACACTAATCACTCCCTTTTATTCGCAGTTTTCGATTTAATCCGATACAAACATGACCGATTGATTTGATTCTAAAATGAAGAACATTAAAAAGGGAAACTAACCCATAGAGTAAGATGGTGTAGGCAAGTTGATGACAGTGGTCTTCACTTTGGTCATCAAATTGATGCTATTTGTCACACCTTGTGATCCTATTCCACTGTCCTTAAGTCCCTGTTTATTCCAATCCAAAACCGAGTTAGCCAAATCGGTTATAACCGAGGCAAATGTAGATCTAGAAATCGATGGTTTACCTGGAAAGGGAAGTGGTCCGGTCCACGAGCTGGCGCAGAGTTGATCTGAACCGTTCCTGTCTCCATTGCATCACTGATCAGTATAGCCTTGTTGATGTCTTTTGTGAATACACATCCCTTCAAATGAAGTTGTTGGGTTAGCTCCGGTTAAGTGCAAACAATATATACCGGACTAAACCAAACCCATATAGCCAAACCTGGAGGCCAAAGTTGCTAGCATTGCAATGATTAATGCCTTCTTCAACAGAGTTGATCCTTAAGACGGGCACGACAGGACCGAATGGTTCCTCCCACGCGATCCTCATGTCCGGTCTAACATTGTCCAAAAGCAAAGGCCAAATCAAGTTACCTTCTCTTTTATACTCTTGACAAAAGGTTGCTCCTTTCTCCTTAGCATCCATCACCAATCCTTCAATAAAGTTAGCTGAAGATTCCGACACCACTGCCGTGATATCGGAGTTTTCTTCAGGCGGTCCTACCGTGAGTTTGGCCACTTTAGCTTTCACTTTTTCAACAACCTCATCCGCCACTGATTCCATTACTAGGACTACCTTAACCGCAGTGCATCTCTGCCCGCTGGTTAAGGTAGATAAAACCGGTTAATACAGAATCCAAATATACATTGGTTAATTGCATTCATTGTAGCTAGCTAGATTACCTGTAAGAGAATCCTCCTTTGATGATATTGGAAGCAACTAAATCAAGATCAGCATCCTCTAGGACAATGCATGCATCTTTACCTCCAAGTTCCATTTGAAGAGGGATCATACCGGCTTTCTTAGAGATTGAGATTCCGGTATCACCACCCGTGAAACTGAAATCGGTCATCCGGAATTTTAGTAGTTAACGAAAACATAATCTTTTTTGTTGAATGTATATATACCTAATGCAGTTAACAGCAGGGTGCATAGTGAGGAAATCTCCGATCTCAGATCCTTTTCCGGTGATGCAGCTGATAAGACCTTTTGGGAAACCGGCTAAGTGAAAGCAATGTACCATGTGAAGACAAGAAACAGCTCCCTAAAGAAACAGACCGTTAAATTTTCTTTTCAAAACATTAATTTTAAAAGAGTGTTAAAGCTTCTTAGTTACTTGAGTTGGAGGTTTGAGGACAAGAGAGTTTCCGGCAATCAAAGCAGGAGCGATCTTTGACACAGCGAGATTGACCGGATAATTGAATGGAGGAATAGCCAAAACCACACCGAGCGGGATCTGTAGATCAGAAAACAAACACATAATATGATCAAAACATTTGTTAACTTCAATCATTGATGCATACATATGAATAAAAGAGATTATACCTTGGAAGTGAGGCAGTACTTAGTACGGTCATTACCGGGGAAGCTATCAGAGAGAAGAAACTTCCCTTCACCTAAGATCCTAACACCTTCTTCAGCACAATAAGAGATCAAATCTCCAGACCTCACAACCTTTCACCATAATCAAACATTAGAGATCTGCAAAACCACAAAACAAAAACAGTTTCGAATGACAGAGAGGGATATAGTGAGACCTCAGTAACAGAATCTTTGGCGGGTTTAGCGATTTCTTTGACAAGAGACTCAGCCATGGGAGCTTTGTTGTCCTTGAGGATTGCAGCAGCTTTGTGAAGAAGCTCAGCTCTTTTCCAAAGAGGAGTTTTCGCCCACGCTTTCTGAGCCGATTTCGCCAGTTCCATCACCGCGTTCACTTCTTCTTGCGTGCATGCTGTGTTTAACAGAAAACAGAACATTACCTCTGTTTTATCTCCTCTGTTTTTCTTCGGAGATTCTTAGGTTTAAATCTCAAGTTTCCATTTTTTAACACTTGTATCAAGTAATCAACCAAGATTCATCAAAATTTCCAAATCTGGCCAAAATCATCTAGAAAGAATGAAACTTATGATGACATTAGTGAGACATACCTTGAACCTTGTACTGTGTCTTCCTTGTGGCCGGGTTAATGATGGCAACACTCTTACCTGAGGAAGAAGTTTTCCACTCTCCATCAGCGTAGTATTTGTAGACTTCTCCATCAAGAATCTCTGCAAACAATCCAGTCCCGGCCATTGATGTCTGAAACAAAACTTAAATAACACAAAGTTGTGTTTTGTGTTGATTTGTGTTATGTTCACACAATGTTTGAATATATATAACCAAAGAGACAAAAACAGAGAAGAAGACTAACTCTCTCCTCTGTGTCTCGCTTCTTGAGTGTTGTAAGAGAGAGAGGAATTGATTAAATGATAGATTTTATTGAAGGAGTGGTGAAAGAGCATGAAAGGTAGATAGATATAGATAAGTGATTGAAGGGTAAAAAGAAAATCTAGAAAAGGATAAAGAAAGATGAAAAATTGTATGGTCAGAAATGAGAGAATTAGAGAGAGTGTGAAGAAGAGTTTCTTGGTGTGTGATCGTTTTGTTGGTTATTGAATAGCTATTGGTCCTACATCATTGTTTATTAACGAAGGGACTCATGATAGCCACAACCACAAGCAAGTCTATGTAATTTATACATAAACAAACATGCATGTATTTAATTTCCAATGTCCGGTTTTTATGGAATATTCCTATTTAAAAAATATATATATATGGAAAATTTTAAAAGAGTTACTTAATTTATATTATGTCATAAAATATTTTTATTTTCTGAATCTATTTTTCATACTTCAATTTCCTAAGTATGCCTTATAATTTAAAATACAAAGAAAAAGTCTTTACAATATGCAGTAGATTTGATTTAAGAAAGCATATTTAAGCTAATTTTTTAAATATATATATATATATATATATATATATATATATATAATTCAACATATTTGGAAGAATTTAAATAACAAAAAAGGATAAAGTTAAGAACATAACGTTTAAGAACAGTACAACATAAAATATATTTATGTGGTAATACTAAATTTATATCACTAAATTTATGAAACATATAAAGTTTGCGACATCTACAAAAATAATTTCTTCATTTTAGTATGGTTTCGAAACGTAAATAAAATTTATTTAAGAGTGAAAGAAAATCTGTCGGAACTCTTTCCAAACATAGTATTCAAGTGTGCAAAGTAAAAAATAAAGTTCGTACTAATGATGAAATCATATATATACCACTCTTTAGGGAAAATCATTCAAAAGTGCTTCGTTTATCAGAGGGAACAAATTAACTATTCCAAAGGTAACAAAACAGAGATGTGGTAACTTAACAAATCAACTATTCCAAACATCACAATAGTGTTTCTCGAGGAAATGGAAGAAAACTGAAAAAGTAACTTAAAATTTTTATTACTTAAACAAGCATTGCAATAAATAGAGTTTCCAAAGAAAATAGAAAGTTTAGAAAAACTAGATTCAAGAATTGGAGGAGCGGGATGACCAAGTCGCAAATGTCACTTAACCAACATCGATTTTGAAAAAGAGAAGCCAAAAATAGAAATTGTTGTGGTTGGCCACTATATATCGAGGAAATCTCTTTTAAATTTTCTTGAGGTCTCCATGATTGGTATATTGATGGAGCTGATGTGTGTGGAAAAAAAATTGTTTTGTTTTAAACGGTTGCCAATATGATAAGCATCAACCTGTACAAAGCCCTTGAACTCCTGGCATTTGTTCGAGGTACGGTAATGGTGAGTATTGGTTGTTTGAAACCCACTATGTTACGATTGGTGTTCGATGTAACATAAAACTATGATAGTTTCAAGCTACAAGTGAAAAAAATGGGCGTTGCACTAGGTGAGGAGGCGGAGAAACCAGAGGAACAGCGGAAATGGGCTATCCTTGAAGTTGGCTGCTATGGTCGGACTCATCGGACTCATCATCGGTTTCATCCTAAAACTCACCTTAGCTTCTCCCACATAACAACTCTTGAGCTTCTCCGCATCGCCTACCATCTCAGTATATGTAACTGCGGAATCAAAACAGATTAACATATATTTTCGGGTATTTTAATCTTCTAAATTTGGGCTTATTTTAACATAAAACTATGATAGTTCAAGCTACAAGTGAAGGAGATCAACTTTTTGTTGTGAAGTTTCTTTTGAACTCTATGAATTTTATCGGGCTTTCTCGGCCATTTACGAAAATGTCTTTGTACACCAAAGCCATCAAATATAGCAGATTAAATCTTCTCGATCATTTAATTTGTTTTTTTTCAACAACATCAATTGGTATGATTTAATCACCAATTGTTTAATTAGTTTCTTTTTTGAAGATTTTTGAATGGTTCTTAATTTTCATAAAAAGGTGATAAAAGTACTTTATACAAACTATATATATATATATGTATATAGTGATTTAAGTGTCAAATATGGAATGTAATATTTCAGTCGTAATATAGGATATTAATATTGTGATTCTTTTATAGAAAATGTTAAAACCTTAATAATCAAACCTTAATAGATTAATAATGTCTAGTGTCTAATAAATTTTATTAATTTATCAATATATTAATTTGACACCAAAATACGGAGTATACTTTAATTTATCGAAATATTAATTACCAAGAAACAAATTTTAATAACAAAGAAGCCACGAAACTATGATAAACAACGAAATTGAATAGAGCCAAAAGCGGTTTTGGAAACTAGACGTTGTTATCTTGGTTCAAGGCCTTACACGTTTTGTTTCTCTCTCAAGTTTTATTCTGATGTCGTGTGACATAACTATCATCACTAACGTAAGTTTAAATTTTGAATTGTGTCATCAATAATATCTTTTAGTGAAATAATAAAAATAATTTAATATGTACATATAAAACCAAATGCAGGTAAAAAAAAATACATGGACTTTATGTTGTGTCCTTTTTTTTAATGTATTGTTAAATTAAATTCAAAAGAAAAATAACGTTTTTTCATCAAGATCATCGTTTGGTCGATGGAAATTTAAAAACTGAAATAATGTTTATGAGCTGAAAATTTGTTTATGTCAATTAAGTCTCATTCTCAAGAGTTATTATCCAATACTATACGATATTCAATAATTAAGTCACCCTTTTTTTTCCTTACAAAGTTATCAAAAATTTAAAGGACGTTTATGAGTGGGAAGCTTTTGTACAGAGTTCGTTATCTTCTTTGGGGACAACAAAAGACGATAAGATTCTTTTTTTATTTCAAGAAAACATTTTTATCTTTGTGATTTTAATCTTTTGAAATGCATGTTAATTCTTGATTAGATCTTACAGAGTCACAGTATTGATTTTCGCACATCCAAATAATAATAAAAAATTATATTCAACAAAAAGTTATTCAGCTGGCACCAAAATATATATCAAGTCAAGAATGTCGTAATAGAAATCATATTGTATATGACAGAAATTCATGTTATAAAACTGTGATGGCATGAAATTCATGAAATTCATCGTAGATCCAACTAAGATATTAGAAGAAGTGATAGTATTTGTCAAATACATTTCAATTCAGTTAAGAAACCAAGATGGTCGAAAGGAAAAGAGATGAGAGAATATCATCACGCATGTACATGTAGTTGTAATAAAATATCAAATTGAGTACACGCATAATTTTTAATTTTTTTTTTATCAACAACTATATTAAGATTGCCTCAAATGAGCCTCTGGGAAACATTGTTTACATGAGTGATAATATGCGGTTGGGTACGAACATTTCGTGTCAAACTATCCGCTTTAACATTCGCATTTTGAGAAATCAAAGATAAAGAAAAAACGTCAAACTCTTCCTTGCCACTCTGAATCACCTACATGCATAAAATTTTGAAACCAAAAAATTTGTAATGATCTACAACAAATATATTCACTGAGCATAACTAAAAATTTTCCAAAAAGCTAAGTCATGGGTAATTGAGTAGGTGAAGAGATGGGAAGAAAAGTAGATGCGAAATCTCATCACATAATAATTCTTGGTAGTTAAGAAGATCGAGGAACCACAAGAATTCGGATAAAGGACGAAAAACAAAAACTTGCAAAGTGATTAATTCTTAGGACCACAAAAACCATACCATAACATCACGATCCCCACCAATTGGTATCAATCAATCACTCTTCCATTAATCTTGCGAACAAACCATAGCCTTGGAAATTCTTAGTTCATTTTGAGAGTGACTATTGTAAAAAGGAAAAAAAAGAAAATATATCGTTTGGTTACAAGTTGTTAGGTGAATTAGCATTGATGTATTGCCGTAAAAATTGCGCCATGTTAAGCTTTTTTTCTAGCTCGTTAATAAATCCGTGTATTAGTAAGTTAAAAACTAAACCACATCATTTTGGTAATATTAGACCATAGATTCATTTGTACATGATTCAACATTTTGCAGTATGTAACGCGGTAATAACTCATGTTACCAATCACAACCCTTTATTTGTTCTTTTTATTTTGCTTTAAGAAAAAAAAAAGTTTTCTTGTTTCTTGTTTTTGCCGGAATGAGTCATTGACATGTCATGTTCATTATCATGTATTTACAAAAAAAGAAGTAATAATCATGGGCTTGCACTATCTTTATCCACTCGTCTCTATTGGCAGGCCTCGTCGTCTCACGTGTCTATGAACCTCTTTTCTTCTCCGACTATCTTCTTCTCTTATGTTTCAACTACCAAGAAGTTCTTCTGGACCTAACGCTATCACATCTCTTAAGAAGAAAAACTTCTAGTTTTTTGATTATGGAAAACTGAGAAGAACACATTTGTTCTTAATACACAAATAAAAGAAAATTAAATAAATAAATATATGTTGAGGGACTCTTTAATTTGCAAATGCACTACTAACACATGTATTGAGCAGGGATTTTTGGTTTTTGAGATACTTTCAAATATTTTTGGGTAGTTTTGGACCTGAACCGAAACGGAAAGGAACTAAACCTGAAAGGTAAAACCTGAACCCAAACCTGATAGGAACCGAACCGAATGCGACCCAGAAAGTATAATACCCGAACGGATTCTATGAATCTAAACCCTTGATTTTATAATGATAATTAACAGTCATAGAAGTTTAGTTCCATTTGGTTTGTCACTTGATAGTGTTTTTGTTAGCATTGATTGAGTTTAGTTTAGGATCCTGAATGTTTACTAGTAGTTTTTAAGTGGTTTTTGGTTTTTAGATTTTGGTTTTATTAATTTTGGTTTTTGATTTTTTGCTATAAATAAGAAAATTAATTAAAAAAATAAAAAAATCAAAAATGAAAGATAATCACGTTGAAAAATAAAATTTTCCAAAAAAACCTCAAAATCATGGTTTTTAGTTTCTCTTTGAAATTTGGAAAAACCACTCAAAAACTAGTTTTTCTAAATTTTAGAAAATCTAATTTTTTAAAATCTTGAATAGTAAAAAAAATAGATTTTCCCATAAACAAAAACCAAAAACCACTAAAAAACTAGGCCTTAGTGATTGACGTTACTTACTAATCGATCATTAACAAGTCGGTCAATCCGGTTTATTCCGGTTCATCCCGGTCTTGTCACGGGTAACTAAAGGTCTCTTCTTTGTATCTATTTCAAACCCTAAACATCGGCGCTCTGTTTGCTTGGACTTTGCAGAGACTCTCAGAATCGTCTCTGTTCTCTCATTAGTTTAAGTATGAGGCTTTGCTCCCGGAAGTGCCAATGGTCTCGCCGTCGTCATTTTCCGGTAGAAGCGAAGCCTATGATCTCAAACTACCTGATCAATCGAGTCACATACGCGCGATGATGATCCTTTTGAGCGCTCTCTATCATTCTCTGTTTTTGTCTTCTTCTTCTTCTTTGGGGCTATGTTGATGATACGTTCGAAGTCAGTGGACCAGACGTTGATGTCGCTCTGTTTCTTGGCGTGTTTAATTTTGATTAATTCTGTCAACTTCTGGAAAACTTTTGTTCAATTGGTAGAAGAATCGAAATTAGATAGATCTCACAGCAGCACTAGAAGCAGTATCTGAGAAAAGCTCTAGGCTTTGAATATGTTGAAACTTAGTAAACCATATTCTTTCTTCTTAGCTATTGGAATGGTTATTACAGCAATGTAGATACATCAGTGGTTTGTTTTAAAAAGTAAATTGTGGGCCTAAAACCATTAAAAGAATGAATGAAACAATTATGAAAGTGGTTAACTTTGGGAACAAAGTTTGTGCCTTTGTGGTGCTCAAAGTTGACAACAACAAACTGATGTGAGATGTATCTTGGTTTTGATCAAGATTGTGACTTTTGTGGTGGGATTATTCCAATTAATCAGGTTAAGTCTACCTAGGTTCTGTTGTGTGGAATTATTGGTGCTGAGATCTCAATTAATTGAAGAACTCTTATCAGAAACTAGTCTAAGATAATAAAGTGGTTTCTTTTTTATTTCATAGCTTCATTGGTATATTCTCAGTTGGACCTTTTTGTGTTTTGGGAGAAACTAACTGGATTTTAACTAAATATTGTTAAACCAAGTTTGTTTTCTTGGAGATTGAGCTTAGCTTTGTTTGGATCATTCGGCCACTTGTGTGAGAGTTTGATTGATTGTTAGTCTTTTTTTTTTGTGTCATCATCATGCTTGATAGTTGAGAGAAAGGGAGAGGCAGAATCATCACAAGTTCTGATAAAGGACAAAACCTTTTCTGATGCAACTCACGTTTTCACTCCACAAGCTCCAAAAGAGTTTACTTGGGAAAACAAAAGTTTGACGAATGCAAAACCAATTTTCTTAGCATAAGACCAAACCCAGTAACCCACTTCTTCTTCTGCCTCCTTGCGTGTATTTGAGTTACTCTTGTTTTGAGAAAGAGAGAGAAAATGTCTGCTTGTTTGTGTCTTGTGTTCCTGTTCTTCTCTTTTGTTGCAGAAGCAACGTATTCTCCCGGAGGTTTCCACCATCTTTCTTCTCTAAGACAAAAGAAAAAGGCTTTCAAGTCAAAGCAAGAGTTACCTTTTGAGACTCGTTACTTCCCTCAAAATCTTGACCACTTCAGTTTCACACCAGAGAGCTACACAGTCTTCCACCAGAAGTACCTCATCAACAGCCGTTTCTGGCGCAAAGGTGGCCCCATCTTTGTCTACACCGGAAATGAAGGAGACATCGACTGGTTTGCTTCCAACACCGGTTTCATGTTGGATATTGCTCCCAAGTTCCAGGCTCTTCTTGTTTTCATTGAAGTATGAGCTTTTGCAAACCACTTAATCTCATCTCTAGTTTGAAAAAGAGACTCAAAACGTTTATAATGGTGTTTTGTCTCCTTGTTGCAGCACCGGTTCTATGGAGAATCAACGCCATTTGGGAAGAAGTCGCATAAGTCGGCTGAGACATTGGGTTATCTAAACTCTCAGCAAGCGTTGGCTGATTATGCGATCCTGATAAGAAGCTTGAAGCAGAATCTATCGTCTGAGGCATCACCTGTGGTTGTCTTTGGTGGCTCTTATGGTGGAAGTAAGCTCACACCCACCACTTTCAATGGAATAATCAATTGATGATACCTCATTATTACTCATCATTTCTCATAAACTATGTTCTGTTGTGTGTCATGTCTTGCGACAGTGCTTGCAGCGTGGTTCAGGCTCAAGTATCCCCACATAACAATCGGTGCATTGGCATCCTCCGCTCCAATACTTCATTTCGATAACATTGTGCCATTGACGAGCTTCTATGATGCCATTTCTCAGGATTTTAAGGTGCTGTATGCTCTGTTTCCTGCAATTTTCATACAAAAGTGGCCTTATAATGAACTTTTGTTATGAGCAGGATGCAAGTATTAATTGTTTCAAAGTCATCAAGAAAAGCTGGGAAGAGCTAGAGGCAGTTTCAACTATGAAAAATGGCTTGCAAGAACTCAGCAAAAAGTTCCGAACTTGCAAGTAAATTATCTTCAAACTTGCAGTGAAATATATTCTCTCTTCTCTAAGCTCTTCAAACAAAAGCTTAACCGAATCTGTTTTGCTTGAATTTTAGAGGCCTTCATTCTAAATATTCAGCCAGAGATTGGTTAAGTGGAGCATTTGTTTATACAGCCATGGTTAATTATCCAACTGCAGCTAATTTCATGGCGCCACTGCCTGGTTATCCCGTGGAGCAGGTGAGATATTCATTACACCAAAGTGTGTCATCGAGTATTTTCTTTCTCCCGACCGGAATTTGGACTCGTTTTCTTTTCCATCAGATGTGCAAGATCATCGACGGGTTCCCTCGAGGATCTAGTAATCTTGACCGTGCCTTTGCTGCTGCAAGCTTATACTACAACTATTCAGGATCGAAAAAATGCTTCGAGATGGAACAACAAACTGATGATCATGGACTTGATGGTTGGCAATATCAGGTAATCTCATAAATAGGATCCTCCTCTATATTCAAAGAATGTATGAATATGAGTTTTGAATGAAGTTTAGACCGTCATTTAGATATTGGTCATTTGGGAGGATAGAACATATTCAATGAATTTGCAGTCTCTAGAGCAAGAAATGATTTATGTTATGAAACTAAAAATGACACAATATGATTATTGAATGGAAACAGGCGTGCACAGAGATGGTGATGCCAATGAGCTGCTCGAACCAGAGCATGCTCCCTCCGTACGACAATGACTATGAGGCATTCCAAGAACAATGCATGAGTAGATACGGAGTCAAGCCTCGACCCCATTGGATCACCACAGAATTTGGCGGAAAGGTCCTTTTTTTTCTTCCCCTCCATTGGATCAGTTTCTTCAGCTGTAAGATTCAATTTATGCTCTTTGGTCATCTTTTGCAGAGAATAGAGACAGTACTGAAGAGATTTGGAAGCAACATCATATTCTCCAATGGAATGCAGGACCCTTGGAGCCGTGGAGGGTAAGTGATACTAAGTAGTACTCTTCGAACATCAATCTTATGGGTTTTGGGTCTTAAACAGATCGTTTTTCTACCATCTAATTTTCAGGGTTCTGAAGAACATTTCAAGCAGTATCGTCGCGCTTGTGACCAAGAAAGGTAAACACTGCTGTTATGTTTATGAATGTTGGGGGAAGTTGGACATAGATAGATTGAGCGAAAATCGAAAGCTAAACATTGTTTTGTGTGAAACAGGAGCTCACCATGCGGATCTGAGGGCTGCTACAAAAGATGACCCAGAGTGGCTGAAAGAGCAGAGGAGGCAAGAGGTTTCCATTATAGAGAAATGGATCAGTGAGTATTACAGAGATTTAAGAGAAGAAGAGCAATAGGAGCTAAACAAAAGTTTATTGCACTAAAAGTCAACAAATAAAGAAATTTATGTGTACTGTGTTTTTAATTCAGTTCGTGTAACGAAGTATAAAAACTTCACCAGGAATTTGTATTCCCTCATACAAATAATCTGATGTTTGTTTCTCTATGGGTGAATGCTGTAACAATGAACAAATAGTGCCAATCTTGAAAAATGTTTAGTGCACTAAATCAACCAAGAAAAACATTGCTGTGTCACTCGTTTGAGATTCAGTTCGTATAAAATAAATTAAAAAGCTAATCTTGGAGATCGTTTTCTCACATATCTCAATGTTTCTCTATGGGTAAATTTCTGAATCAACTGATTATAGAGTGCCAATCATAAAAGTGTGATTACGTAATATGGAAAGATTAGGGGCGATTTCAGAAAATATCCAAAGATGTGGGACGCTTTCGTAAATACCTTAAGATGTGGGGCAATTTCGTAATTACCAAAAGTTGTGGGGCAACATCGTAATTATCGAAAGATGTGGGGCAATTTCGTAATTTCCAAAAGATGTGGGGCAATTTCGTAAATATCGAAAGATGTGGGGCAATTTCGTAATTACCGAAAGATATGGGGCAATTTCGTAATTACCGAAAGATATGGGGCATTTTCGTAATTACCGAAAGATATGGGGCAATTTCGTAATTACGAAAAGATGTGGGGCAATTTCGTAATTACCAAAAGATGTGGGGCAATTTCGTAATTACCAAAAGATGTGGGGCAATTTCGTAATTACAAAAAGATGTGGGGCAATTTCGTAATTACCGAAAGATATGGGGCAATTTCGTAATTACCAAAAGATGTGGGGCAATTTCGTAATTACCAAAAGATGTGGGGCAATTTCGTAATTACCAAAAGATGTGGGGCAATTTCGTAATTACAAAAAGATGTGGGGCAATTTCGTAATTACCGAAAGATATGGGGCAATTTCGTAATTACCAAAAGATATGGGGCAATTTCGTAATTACCAAAAGATGTGGGGCAATTTCGTAATTACCAAAAGATGTGGGGCAATTTCGTAATTACAAAAAGATGTGGGGCAATTTCGTAATTACCGAAAGATATGGGGCAATTTCGTAATTACCAAAAGATATGGGGCAATTTCGTAATTACCAAAAGATGTGGGGCAATTTCGTAATTACCAAAAGATATGGGGCAATTTCGTAATTACCAAAAGATGTGGGGCAATTTCGTAATTACGAAAAGATATGGGGCAATTTCGTAATTACCGAAAGATATGGGGCAATTTCGTAATTACCAAAAAATGTGGGGCAATTTCTTAATAACCAAAAGATATGGGGTAATTTCGTAATTACCAAAAGATATGGGGCAATTGCGTAATTACCAAAAGATATGGGGCAATTGCGTAATTACCAAAAGATATGGGGCAATTGCGTCATTACCAAAAGATGTGGGGCAATTTCGTAATTACCAAAAGATATGGGATATAGTTTCCCAGTTACAGTAGTCTTTTTTCCACTATGGCCAATTCGCCATGATCGCTGCTGCTCAAACGTGAATTGAAGAATAGTGATCTGTTCGATAATTTAAAAAATCGAGCTTTCAGCACTAACCGGGGCAATGGCACGGAGGTCTGGGAATGGCATGAGATGATGTATAGTGATATTCTCGGTGGTATCAGCTTTATTTGTGTGTGGACCTGCTCTTTTTTGGATATTCAATAAGGGTTTCGTCGTTGGATATATACCCTTAGCAGCAGCAACTCCATTTGTCCTCCTTGCGAGATCTGCGATTGTCCTCCTCCTTTGTCTCTCCTCCAGATTGCTCCCGGTACTGTTTTTTTTTTCTCTCATTCTGATTGGAAAATTAGCATCTGGGTTTTCAATTTGATTCATAAATTAGGAGACTTTAGTTCTTATAAATCTGGAATACTTAAGATTGTTTGATCTTTCAATTTCTAATAAAGTTTCATTCTTGTATTGTATTCTTTTGCAGGGCTTGCAAACCTCTCTATTACAGGTTCGATCTCGTTCCCAAGCTTGCAAACTTTGTATGTATTGTTTCTCTACTGATTTAATAATATGAATGAGAATGCCTCTCTGATGATTTCTTAATGAAGACCTTCATTGAACCATATGAAAACCTAGGAATCTGGTGAATCTGTAACCAATGGGTGCAACTATTTCTCTTTAGGTTATTTTTTTTTGGGTTTCTTGATCAGACATAGGAGCCTGAGATTCTCGTCTCTGTTGCATAAGGAGCACTTTTTAACAAATAGTTGTTATAGTTATCTGTTTTTAAGATGTTCCTTTTTTTAGTCCATGGGAAGTAGATTATGAATTATTGTTGACTTGTGTTGTGTATCAGGTTGTGGAAGCGATGATCCAGAACTCAAAGAGGAGATGGAGAAACAGTTTGTGGATCTTCTCACAGAAGAGCTGAAGCTTCAAGAAGCAGTTGCAGACGAGCATAGTTGTCACATGAATGTTACACTTGCCGAAGCAAAAAGGGTTGCTTCACAGTACCAAAAGGAGGCTGAGAAGTGTAACGCTGCCACGGAAATTTGTGAATCAGTTAGAGAGAGAGCTCAAGCATTGTTGCTCAAAGAGCGGAAAATCACTTTTTTGTGGGAGCGGAGAGCTCTGCAATTAGGTTGGGAAGGTGAGTAAGTAATTCACTGTTTAGTGACTTCTATTCAGTCTACTCTGAAGAGTTTCTCGATGGAAGAAAAGTAGATTTTCTCTTCCGCATAGAGCTCATGAGAACATGGGAATCGCTTAATTCTCAAGGCAATGTTTTTGTCACCCATGTTCTCTATATATGTAGCTCTTTTTTGTTCTGCACTTGGATCTAAATGTACCTAAAGAAAGGGTTGGCCTTGTATTGACTTTTTTCTTCAGATATATTTTTGTCCAGTCACATTGGACGAGAGAAGTCACCGACTTCTGTATTTTATTGTTCATGTTCATTGGCAAACGCAACCATCATTTTCTCATCAGGCAAAGCAAAATATATAATTATGATCTTATTGAACTTGGATTTTGTGTTTGTTGAGATTTGCATCTGATTGAGACAGCAATCCTGATTTGATTTTTAAGAGGATTTGTATTGCAGCAAATGTTGGATGCATCTGTGATTATGGCTTAAGCATAAGTGGGTCAAGAGTCACTAACAAACACTTTTGAGATGTTTAAGAAACATGAGACTTTGTGAAGAGGAACAAGAGCAGAGGAAGAGACAAAACTAGAGGAAAGTCAAGAAAGGGTTGACATAATGCAGCATATGATCGCTCCAGGTATTACGCAGCACCAACTTTCAATATTCATTCATGCACAAAAACAGCTGCTTTTTCTGTTTATTTGATTTGTTTATTTTTAGTGTCAGCCATTAATAATACTCTCTTTCTCTCTTTGCATTATTCTAATGCTCACATGGACAGATTCCTTAAAGTTTTTTATTAACCCTTTAGATCTGCCATTAAAGAACAGATCTCGGTTCAGTGACTTCTGCAAACCGTCTAGACCCATGTGGGTTGTCCAAACTCTGTAGCTTGAGGCTATTTGTTCTATATTCAACTTTATATGTGGTTATGTTTCTTTTGTGTTCTTCTCTGAAGCTTCCTTCGTGGACTTCTGCTGTTTTTTTCCTAACTTTGGAATAGTTTTTGTATATCTCTGGACACAGAGATCGCAAATTCTTTTTTCTTAAATGGAAGGTTCCATAAACAAGCGAGGATACGAATGCAGTCAAGAGGATACAGACAAGTTGCCAGAATCAAAGAGACAAAAAGTGCCTGCTTTGGCAAGGTAACTTCCTATAGGGTTTTCTGTCATTTTCAGTTTCAAAGTAGCCAAATGTTTAAACCTCACAACTATTGAAGAAACATGCGTTGTTGTTAGATCATGGAGGAGAATGTAAACTCTGTTCTGTTTGAAACTAAGATTCTTTACTTTTTTTGAGTCAAGATTTATATTCCTTGTTGAGAGATGTTTTTTTGTAAGCTTGCAAGTTTGTTGATTTTCTCATACGAAACAAACTTTTTACAGTGTTATTGTGGAAGCTGTTAAGGTAGATAGTCTGCAGAGGCTTTGCTCGTCTTTGGAGCCGTTGTTTCGCAGAATTGTGAGTTTCTATTCTACTCTTAATCTAGACATGTAATGCTATTATAGTAAATTGTGAGATGCTTGTGGAGTTTTAAAATTGGTATGGTGTGGACAAACAAACAGGTTAGCGAAGAAGTGGAACGAGCCTTATCAAGGTTGGGAAATGCAAAGTTAACCTCGAGGTATTTTCTCCATTATACCTTTTCCTCTTGAAATGGCTCAATGATCTTTCTAGCGCTTTAGTTTCTTTCTTTCTGATTAAACTGACATAAAATCTCCAGGTCACCTGAACCAAAGAGGATCCAAGACCGCGATGGAAGAAACCTGCAACTTCACTTTAGGACGCGAATGCCTCCTCACTTATTCACAGGTGGGAAAGTCGAGGGAGAGCGAGGCTCGGCAATTCATGTGGTTCTTATAGATGCAAACACAGGAAATGTAGTCCAAACAGGAGAAGAGTCAGCTTCAAAGCTGAATGTTGTAGTGTTAGAAGGGGACTTCAATGATGAAGACGATGAAGACTGGACGAGAGAGCACTTTGAGAGCTTTGAAGTGAAAGAGCGAGAAGGGAAACGCCCCATTTTAACTGGGGACACACAGATAGTGCTTAAGGAAGGTGTGGGAACTCTAGGAGAACTTACTTTCACTGACAACTCGAGTTGGATACGGAGTCGAAAGTTTAGGCTTGGTGTTAAGCCGGCTGCAGGGTATGGTGATAGCTTTTGCATTCGTGAAGCCAAAACAGAACCTTTTGCTGTCAAAGATCATAGAGGAGAACGTGAGTTTCTAATCATTTGAATTGTATAGATGAGTGTTAGTTACTACTAACTTGGCTCTGTCATCTGTAAAAATCCATTATCTTTTGACAATGTGTTGCAGTATACAAGAAACATTATCCACCGGCTGTACACGATGAAGTCTGGAGACTAGATAGAATAGCGAAAGACGGAGTGCTACACAAAAAGCTATTGAAAGCTAATATCGTGACAGTCGAAGACTTCCTTCGACTCCTTGTTAAGGATCCACAGAAGCTGAGAAATGTAAGCATAGATATCTGTTAATGTGAACAAACCACCAACATTGCCAAAGATATACTAGTTAAATGTTCTTTGTTTTCCTGATAATGTAGTTGCTTGGGAGTGGAATGTCGAATAGAATGTGGGAGAACACGGTGGAGCACGCAAAGACATGTGTGTTGGGTGGGAAGCTTTATGTGTTTTACACAGACCAGACTCACGCTACAGGCGTTGTCTTCAATCATATCTATGAATTCCGAGGCCTAATTACAAACGGGCATTTCCTATCGCTAGAGTCTCTCAACCATGACCAAAAGGTAAAGAGTAGCGACAGACATATTTCATTATTTCTGTCCAAATATGACAACAGTTTCTTGGTTGCTAAGCTGATCATTGGTTAGCTCACAGATTTCTGCAGATATTTTGGTCAAGCTGGCTTACGAGAACTGGCATAAAGCTATTGAGTACGACGGTAAGCTGTTAAATTGCTTACCAGTTGCCGAGAAGGAAGTAAAAAGCTTACCAGAACCAAAAATGGTCACAGCACAAACAACTCAGAACCATCAACAGCTGCACAACCAGAATAATAGGCAAACTGTGCAATGTCATCAGAATGCTATTACCTATACACCGGTCCCTCAACCAATAGATTATCCTCAGTTTGCGCAGCAAAATTGCAGCCAATTATTACCTTCATTCCCTTGCAACGTACAGGACTACAACAGGTCGATGGAGAGTTCCAATGATTCAAGCTCATACAATGGAGAAGATTGGTGTCGACCAAGAGCTGCAGGACAAGGTCTTGAAGACATTTTCAGCGAAGAAATCAGACTAAGGAGCTCTGAAATGCTTGAGACTGACGATATGCAGAGACTGTTGAAGACTTTTGGCATTGGTGTGAACACTGTGGGAACAGAAGGTGGGTTTGGTCAGACTGATGAGTCTTGTTACGGTTATAACATACCGTACCAAGCTCAGATCGATAACACGTTCAGGAGAGAACGTAATAGAGGCTCGGGCAAAGCTGTGGTTGGATGGCTAAAGCTTAAGGCTGCTTTGAGATGGGGTATCTTCATACGCAAGAAAGCTGCAGAGAGGAGGCCTCAGATTGTTGAGATCGATTGACAAAAAATGGGATAGAGAGCCTCTTGAGGTTTTAATCCTTTGACGAATTTTCGCTTTCGTTAAAGCTTGAAGACAGTTTCTTTGTGTTCATCTTTTGGATGAACAATCTAAGGGTAGAGAGAAGTGGACTTTGCTTTGTATTACATGTATTGCTTTATTATGTTTTCTCTCTTATGTTTCATGTTAGTTTTTATTTTTTGTCATCGTTTTCATGTTAATTATAGTCCCTTAATTATATTAGTAATAATTTATATCATTCTATAAGTGTTTATATTGGAATAAGTGAACACTATATGACATTAACTTATAACATTTTACTTTAAAATTAAGTTGGCTTGTTTGGTTGAAACTATTAAAAAAAATGAATCCATCAGATAAGTTTCAACCATTTTGCCATCTAATATTTAGTCATTTTCTTATACTCCCTCTGTCCCATTTTATTAGATGTTTGGAGTAAAAGCACAGAGATTAAGAAACAATAAATGTTTTCTCATTTATGAAAATTTAACCAATAGAAGAAGATACTGCATAATTAAAATAATTTAAAACTATTAAACTAATATAAATTATGCATTGAAAGTAGAAAAAATCTTATATAATGGAACAAATGAAAATGCCTAAAACATCTTATATATTGGGACAGAGGGAGTATAATATTTTCAGCTATTTTGTTAGCCAACCACTTTTCATCTACCAAAATATAATCAATTTATTTTGAAATATAATATCTCAACTAGTATGTTTATGAAACAATTAAAAAAAAAAATCCAGCAGAAGCATTCATCAATTATCCATTACAACGTGCAATAATTAAAAGTGCCACTATATCTTTTCATTTCCATTTAAATCCGACGACAAAACAAAACTTTATTATGCAATTGGATGACGATAAAACGGTTTTGAATTTAAATTAGTTTTGAGTTTGGGTAGAAATTGACGGTGGGTCATAGTTTGGGTTGGAAAAACCCGCCCCCAAATAGTTGGGGTTGAAAATGGCCGTTGTCCCGCCACGTCAATGCCACGATATCGCTGACTCAGCAGCCGTTAAATCCCGAACTAACACCGTCTTCTGTCGTTTTGAAATCGGCTAATTTTCATTAGTTTAGGTTTTGAATTTGAATTAGTTTTGAGTTTGGGTAGAAATTGACGGGGGGCCTTAGTTTGGGTTGGAAAAACCCGCCCCCAAATAGTTGGGGTTGAAAATGGCCGTTTTCCCGTTAGTTATTGGACCCGCAACAAAAATTATGAACATGCAAACACGACAATATAGATCTATGCTCATTTGTGAATGTCCAACACGAAAAGTATAGATCTATGCTGATTTGTGAATGTCCAAACCGGATCTAAAAAATAGGTAAAGAACAAAGTGGATCTGGGAAGAAGAAACGACTAATATAGAATGGCCGGGATTTTTTGCAAAGGACGGAGAAACTGTAGATTTAAAACCAACGACGGTGACTAGGAGCACAAAAACAAACTAAATCGACCTAAGATTTCATTAGACTCAAGAAAACTCCGGAAAAACGCGGATGGAACTAAACCGACCAACTCTTACAAGAACCAACTCCATACCATAAAAGAAGATGAAAATTCTTGGTGACTGCGAGAAATAGAAACAACGGCGAGAAAAGAAACGTCGCCGGAGAAGAGATACAATGATTGAAAAAAAAACAAAAAAAAACTGATGAATTGATGCAGAAGAGAGAGGTTGGACACACAAGAGTCAGAATACAAAGACACGCATTATAACTTCGAAAATAGAATAAAACAAGACAATTGTCTAGCGTAATTGGGCCGATAATTTGCATAAATGAGAGAGATGCGTGGGGCTAAAATCGGGGAAAAAGATGGCTAATTATTATCAATGTCTTGGGTCATATGACCTAAAACCGAAAATTTAAATACCCAAAAAAGTAACGTCTCTCACCCAATTATCTCTTTAACAAAAATAAAACACACACTTAGGGGGTGATTGGAAGAGACTTTCAAGGCTTTATAATTTTTTTAAAGTTTTAAAAGCCAAATATTTGGCAATCACCATTTTAGGACTTTAGATTTTTTTTAAAGTTCTTAAAGTCCAACTGCCAACTTTTTTCTTTTTTACGTACAAATTTCTAAAGTCTCAAATATGAGGCTTTCAAACAAATAATAAACTTTAAAATAAATAATAATTAAAAATTTTCTTTTTTCTTCTCCTCATAATAATTAGAATCTTTCTACATGTTTATATATATTGTTTCATATATTTTTTTTGATAAATTAATTATTATCATTTTTCAATCTTTCTTTTAAGATCCATTTCAATAATATTCATTTTATTTTCATAATCACCATTAATATTGGTATAAAAGAGTTTATAGAATAGTATTTTTAATAAAACATATACTTTATATAGCCCATTCAATTATTTCATAAATTGCTTCATCATTAATAATTTTAATTTATCCCAAGCTCCTCACATTCACCCAAGTTTTTATAAGTTTATCCCACTTTTTACTAATATGTTGGAATATTAAATTTCGTCATGAAATAATTATTATCATTTTTCAATCTTTCTTTTAAGATCCATTTCAATAATATTCATTTTATTTTCATAATCACCATTAATATTGGTATAAAAGAGTTTATAGAATAGTATTTTTAATAAAACATATACTTTATATAGCCCATTCAATTATTTCATAAATTGCTTCATCATTAATAATTTTAATTTATCCCAAGCTCCTCACATTCACCCAAGTTTTTATAAGTTTATCCCACTTCTTACTAATATGTTGGAATATTAAATTTCGTCATGAAATAATAAATATAAATAAATGTGTTCATTTAGAATATTTATTTCTTATTTTATTTCTAAACCTTTGTCATTTCTCTTAAATATTTTATTATTAATAATTTGATTTTTAGTTTATCCACTTTTTAATGCAATATTTGGTTATTAAACATGAATGAATAATACATATTTCGTTTATTTATTGAGAATATTATTCTATACATTTATTTATGAATTTTCGTATTTTTCTAAATTCTTATCATTAATAAAATTATATTGTCACATAAATTCATTTATAACATTATTTATATTTATTATGAATATATATAATCCTAAAAAAATAACAGTCACAGTATCTACAGCTTTGTTCTACCAACAATCAGATTTTAACAGCCAAAGTTTCTACAGCCAAAGTCTCTGCAGCCAAAGTTTCTACAGCCAAAGTTTTTAAAGCCAAAGTCTTTACAGCCAAAACTAACAGCCTCTTTCAATCACCCCCTTAATAGTCAAAGCACAAAAAGAAAAATTGTGAAATGCAAAACCGCCAAACCCTTACAATAACAACAAACACGGACAGTCAAAACTGACAATGCGGAACCAAACTTTATTTCATTTTTTTTGTAATGTAATATACTTGATTCAACAACCAAAAGAACAAACTTTCTTACAAAATAAAGTTTATAAAAACACTTTACCATATTTGTATCAATTGTTGATCAGAGAAGAAACAATGAAACATAATGGGAAAGATCAAAATCTTTCATTGAACTAAACAAACAGTCTATCTAACCTGAACAATGTCTTTAAATACAAACAACTAAACCAATTGTCAAATCAATAACCAATAACCAAACAGTTTGATACCAAAGATAAACCAGTGGATATAACATAACTTCTAAATTTCATTTTCATATCACCTCACTTAAGAGTTTAATCGACAAGATTAGACATGTCGAGTGGCTCGAGGTTCTGACTTAAACCAATAAGATTCATTGCATTTGAGATCATTAATTAATTTCACACACCAAGAAAAACCGGACCGGGATGAAAATTTGATTAAACCGATATTGGTACTACAAAAAGCTTCTCCTTTTAATGGAGACTGAGACAGTGGAAGAGTCACTCACTCACTCATCAAAAATGGCGGAAAATGTTGGAAGCGACTCGAGCGAATTCGAAAGCATCACTTCTTCTCAGAAATCTTACCTCAAAAACTGTCCTTTCGCCGGTCACGAACCTCTTCCGACGAAATCGACGGATTCCGACAACACTGAGGTTCTCGGTAACAAGATTTCTCCGGCGGTTGTTAAAACTCCGGTTCTTGCGTTCTCTTCTCCGACTAGCCTCGATTCCATCAACGATGAAGTCTTTCGTACTCCTCCTGAGAACGCTTCTCTCTCCTCTGCCGCTGAATCGGAACCCAGAGTTAGGGTTTCGGAGATTAAGCTCCGAGGAGGTTCGAATTTGACAACTCCGTCTTCTCAGGCCAAAACAATGCCTGTTTCTGCTTCACCGTCGATAAATGTTAGGGTTTCGGAGTCAAATTTGAAATCTTTGTCTTCTACGGCCAAAACGACGCCGGTTTCTGCTTCTCCAAATGTTAGGGTTTCGGAGTCGAATTTTAAATCTTCGTCTTCTACGGCCAAAACGACGCCTGTTTCTGCTTCTCCAAATGTTAGGGTTTCGGAGTCGAATTTGAAATCTCCGTCTTCTACGGTCAAAACGACGCCTGTTTCTGCTTCTCCAAATGTTAGGGTTTCGGAGTCGAATTTGAAATCTCCGTCTTCTACGGTCAAAACGACGCCTGTTTCTGCTTCTCCAAATGTTAGGGTTTCCGAGACGAATTTGAAATCTCTGTCTTCTACGGCGGAGATAACGCCTGTTTCTGCTTCACCGTCGGAAAAAGTTAGGGTTTTTGAGACGAAATGTCCTTCTGATTCCGTTCCTTTGTCTTCTCCGCCGTCTGTTGCTGCCGACGATGTTAGGGTTCCGGCTAAGCATCTTGATTCTGATTCTTCTCCTCCTACTGCAATCGGAAGAACCATGGGTTTGGTAAAACAACTTGTTTCTACTTCCGTGAGTCTCGATTCTGCTTCTTCGTCTGCAAGTGAAGGAATCAAGATCTCTAAAACTGAAGATTCTGGTGGAGTTTTGCCATTTAAAGAGATCATCGAAGCACTTCTTCGTAACAGTGGAGAGAATCACAAAGAAAGAGATGATAAAGTTAGCTATGTTGAGATTCTCAAACAATGTGGTTTGAAATTCCCTAAATGATTACTGATTTAGTAAGTATTCTTTGCTTTTGTCTCTTTCTCTGTTTTTAGCTTGTTCTTGTTGTTTCTGTTTCGGGATTACGCATTCAGATCTTTCCTTTTTTGTTGATATGAATGCGTCGGGAAAAAAAAAAGTTGGAGCTTTTGTGTTCTGTTGCTTTAACTACAAGTAATGATAAGTATTTTGTTCAATTACAAGGCTTAATCCTACAAAGATGATATCTTGTTCTACTGTTATTGCATTTGATAGCATTGTCTGAGGAAATAACGCCTTTGTGTGTTGTTGCAACTTGCAAAGGAAGGATTTAGTTGTGTTTCTATCTTCAAACTCCAGCTCTCTCTACCTTTTGCTGAATCTCAAGCACCGATTCTGCTTAGTTTCCTTGATGCTTGGATCGTCATTTTGTTGTTTGCTTGGTGGATTGTTGAGAGCGAGTTTCTCCATTGCGTTCAAGAACTTTCGCACGTGCTTTATGTATTCGGGGTATGTTTCCAAGTTGCAATGTCCTCCTCCTTTTACCCACAATGGATCATACTTGTCCTTCGCAAGCTCCCATAAACGTTTCCCATGAGATATGTTCACAATGTCATCTTTTGTTCCCTGTAGTTTCAGAAACAAAGTTTAATGATCTCTCATTCGCGCTCTTTTGCTTTGTGAGAAAAAAAAACTGATGTAGCCTTACATGTATGACAAGAACAGGGCATTTCACATGGCGTATCTTCTCAATGTTCTGCAAAATTCCAGAGTTTGAGAGACTGACCCGATAGTAATAACCAGAGACAAGAGAGATTAAGCTTACTTTGTACATATCGAACCAGAATGTCATTTTGACAGGATATAGAACTCTAAGGCCAGAGAGAATTGCGCTATGAAGAATAATCCCTCTTAGTCTCTTTAATCGAGTCGCTAAATGCAACGTTGGTCCGCTTCCAACGGATTGACCATATAGAATCATTTCCTCTTGTGTGATCCCGTACTCACTCCTCAAGCAATTGTACACAGCCTCGATATCGTAATATGTATTGAGCTCAGTTGGCTAAAGAACAATCAAAGGTTAAACAAAGAGCCAAATCATAGAAAATGTTTGAAAATTTTGAATAAGTCTCTTTCTTACCTTGCCTGTTGAAACTCCATAGCCTGAATAATCATAGCTGTTTTCAATGACATGAAGAGGTTCAGGTTCGTTCATAAACAAAAGAAAGTATTTTCGGGTTTGTGTATGTATAAACCTCATAATGTTGACGCGGAGATGAGCTCGAAGCTCGATGAAGAGATCGACCATTTGGCCGAGATCCGCGGCATTGCCATGTGAATAAAGAAGAGTAAATCTAGAAAAAGGGTGTTTCCAAAACGTGGCAATAACTTTGTTGCCGGATTTGGTGGTAAGCTGATGAACATCCATGCTTTTTTCAGGTGTAATGCCGTTGAACATAAGCTTTCCGGTCTCCTCATCTTTACTTACACCGTATGTGGGTGGGGGTGGGAAGAAAGCCAACTTTGCCGCCATGTTTGACGTCACATTACCCATATCAATTAGTATTATTGTTCAGAAAAAAGGTAAAAGAAATCACTTTCAATGAGAAAGAAGGAGAAAACAAAAACCCAAACCCCAAAATCTCTCCCTCCCTCTCTCTTGCGATCTAAGAAAAGAAAACAAAAGGTAGAATTCTTTGTTTTTGGTGGGTTTATGTTTAGGGGAGAGGAAGGAAATCAAATGGAAGGTGATGGAGGAGAATATTTGGCGGGAGAAAGAAGTTGAGCTGTTTCATTAACAAATTTATGTATTTTGTTTTTATGTTTTTCTTTTATAAGTTGACATATTTTTTCACCAAAATGGATGGGGAAATTGAATCTAGTAATTTTGAATTCCTCAATTAACTCGAGAATCGATTAATCATCTTCGCTGAACGACTTGACTTATTATTTGAATCGGATTGAAGAACGATTCAATCATTTAAAATTTGTTGAGATGATTATCGAGTCCTTTGGAATCGATAGTTCACTGAAATACATTACACGCAGGCACGCAGCTACAGATTTCCACAGAGAATAAATTTGATGCTATATGATTTTCATCGGTAAGAACTTCATTCCACAATCAAAATTGCAAGCAGTTACAGATTTTAGCATATCAACCTCATTTTAACACAACCATATGACATATTCTATCTCTCCCTTTGTCTCTCTTTTAGCACACACACTTGAAAGCTTCCTTTTACCTCACAGTAACTTTCTCAGGTACGTTTGGTGTCTCGCTTTCAGCTGTTTCCGGCACTTCTTCCACGATTTCTTGACTTTTTAACAAAGGGATTGGACTGTGACCGCGTTCACTAGTCGTCAAGCTATTGCTATTGATCACTTCCCTTTCCATTGGCTTTAGAGAAACTGCATGGAGTGTATCAGCAGGAGCAATAAGTGAATGTTCTTCTGAATGTTTCGGCTTGTTCAGAGCTCGACAATGAGGACAGTAGTAAGTAGTGTACAGGAAATCCTCTTTCCGGGCGAGTCCTACATGATGAGAGAGGAAGAGAAACATTGTACAATTAAGTTATTAACGACATTGCAGTGTGTCAACAATATGTGAGAGTTTGGTTGTATTAGAAGAAAAAAGACAGAGATAGTGTCTCACTCACCATTATGCATACGGCAGTTTCCACAGATGAGTGCATATGACTGAGTTGGATCTTCGCCTACAAGGAGAGCTGCAATGCGTGAGATCCAGCTACCATCATGAGCAGCATATCCATGAGGATTAAAATGCTCAAACACCATCTGTTGGTTTTTCTCTGTGCCGGTGATTCTTTCGCTCGTTCCAGAATGGTTAGACTCATTATCAGAATGATGGGTTGGAGTGGTCCCAGCACTATTGTGTTTTGCATTTGGTTGTCTTCGGTTTCTGAGCCCTCGTGAGTGTTTGACTTCCATGTCATTGCTCTTGCCTGGGGTGGGGTCAATTTGGGATTCATCTCCTACAAATACTTTCAAGCCTGACTCAGCACCCAACTTGGATGCCAAAACAGTTGCAGCAGCCGCCTTTGCAGCTGGGTCAGGGTCATACCTCTGATACAAAATAGCTCATGTTAAAACAAGTTCCAGTCACAATATAGTGATAAAACCCACAATAACAAGCATCCGTTAAGATATATCAGCAATTCAATTCTTTTTCAAGTTTCTGAACAATTTGCAAGTCCACCATACCAGTAGAAGAAGTAATTCCAGAACTCAAAAGGTCTTCCTGTCCTTTATTAGTATCATTTCCAGTTAAGTCAAGTTGGGAGACATATCACTCTATGAATTTCAACTGTAACACTTACGAGTTTAGATTCCTAACCACCCTTTATCCAAACTTACAATTAAGCTTTGCCTAACACATTGAGCCACTAGTTTGACAGTGACAAAGCTAGTGCAACTTGAAAAGCGAAAAAGAAAGACTCTCCATAAGGATAATCCTTGTCCAATGGCTGTACTGTTAAAAGAATTCCAATCCAAATTTTCGAGACCATGCTCTTTGCTATGTTTAAATTTAAGGTCATCTCCTAATGCAACAAAGACAGACAACTTGCAAAATAAAACAGAAATGAAAAATGATCTAATCCTACAACAAAGCTAGAGTCTTTAAGTGATCTGTATCTCTATCAGAGCTAGGTAAAGCAGTGCAAGCAAGAAATAACAGCAGCACACATCAAAACACGACAGTGGAACTAATCTAGAATACCAGAAACCCAATAGAATCCGAAATGAACTAGCCTCACAAACACAAAACAAGTTATACCTTACCTGAATAAGTTGCTGTGTAATGTAATAATTGGTCCTTTCCTTTAACTCATTGATCTTTCCCAACATTTCTGCTTGAAGCTTTTCCAAGGTATTCTGATCTCTGCGGTCACCTAAACCAAACCAATTCACACACAAATACACAATTTATACACCAAACCTAAGACAAATGCCATGAGCATATAAAAGAAGGAAAACACAAGACAAGACTCACACATCCTCCAGAAACCAACGAGTGAAGAATAGAGAAGAAAGGCAACAACAGGTAAAAGAAACATTGGCAAGATCCTGAAACTCCTCAGTTTCCAATCCAAATCCTCCTCTCTGGTTGTCATGATTGCATAACTCACTGCAATTACCTGTATGCACCAAAACATCAATTTCATTCATCAGTAAATTTCCTACAAACTTCGTCCACATGAAGAAGAAGAGACTAACCTCAAAGAAGATAGAGAAAGCGATGAGATTTCTAATGAAGTTCCTCCTTGTAATCGATCTACGCTTCATTCTATTACGAACAGTTGCTTCTTCCTTTGAGATATTCTTAAGTCTCTTCTCGAAATCGTCACCTCTAACCCTAAATATCGCATTCCAAATACGCGAGAACAAACCTTTACGCTTCGTGGTCTTCTTCTCGCCGGAAGCAGAGAGTACAACGGCGGAATCATTCTTCTCACCGCCGCTCTCAACCACCGTTCCTTCGTGCTCTTTCTCTCCCACCGCCATTTCCGATTCCTTGCGCCGACTTTACACTACTACTACTCTGAAAATCAAACTACAGAATCTATCGTTGATGATGAAGTTAGAAAGAATTTCTTCGGCTGATCTGAGATTCGTTGGAGAAGGAGACTTCTTCTTCGAAAGTCGTGAAGAGGAGGCCAAGAAAGTGTGATGCTTCGCTCTCTGCCAAAGTTTTCTTCTTCCTCTTGGAGAAGGCAAAGAGGAAACGCAGAAATTACTCAAAGCTTTTGGGATTATTTGATTAGGGGTTTATTGGACTCTGTATTTATGGTGATTTTTTTAAGAAGAATTTGAAGGTTTAGTGAAATTATGTAAATTATTAAGTTAAACTTGAGTGTGAAAAATATAGAAAGAATATAACTAAGAATTTAGTGTTATTTAATTTAATGATATACAAGTTTGAAATTTGAATAAATTTTCAAAATAGTTTTAGTAAAAATCTAAAACATAGAAATAATATAACTTATAATTTACTTTAGTGTTATTTAATCAACAATCTAGATACACAATTTTTGAAATTTGAATAAATCCTGTAAACCATTTTAGTAAAAATATGAACATTTGCTATAGAAACTCTTTAAATAATAAAAAGTTCTAGTTAAATAGCTAATAGAATTTCGATATTTAAAAATCATAAATTAAACTATCATTAGGGTTTTTTTGACATGAAATTGGACGATATAAACAACATATATCGATTGGTGATGAACTAGTATGAAAAACGATAATTTGGGATGTTTTTGGAGGAGCGAGTCTAAACATATACTACAATACTGTCATTAAATTTCATAATGACAGAAATTATTTTTCGATGGTTCTCAAACTTTTTAGTTCATCCAATTCTTGAGAGTAGGTAGCTTAATTGGATAAACTAAAAAGTTTAGTCATGTGATTGATCACATAATTAGTTCATATTTCCAACTCTTTCATATTTTCAGTCCTTTAAATTTACCCATAAAAGCGTGAAACACAACAAAAAAAAGGTTACAAAAAACGAAAAATCAAAAATGTTATTTTCTTCAAGTATCAATCAATACGTGTTTAGTTGTATCCATCCACTTCCATCCTAAATTGAAATGATGGTTATGTTCAATACGTGTTCACTTGTATCCACCCACTTCCCTCCAAAACCAATAAATGGTTATGATTCATTCATTATTTCACGCGCTTTCTCTTGCCATAATTCCGGACGAAAAGTCATATTTATACGTTTTCAACACAATCAAGATTTCGTATTATATACCCATGAAAACTATACATTGTTGAACAAATAGTTCTCTACAAGCTTTGATTTGCTTCTACTTACAAATCTTTCATCTTCTCTGTGTTTCTATAAGAATCCTAAAGACCCATCCAGCATGAACTTCCGTTAGGGTTATGAATCGGTGAGAGTGTAGGCAAAGACACGGACCATTCGTACCAAACCTGCCCACCAAAAATGTATACAACACACATAAGTATTGTGTGAATGTGTTGACTCTTTTTTTTTTACACGCATTCTCCATCTAAAAGGTGGCACAATTAAGTGAGAGTCAGCGAATGGAAGAACCCTAGTATCATAATTGCTTTCATCGACTAAACCAGGCCTATAAGAAGGATTCATCTACGCGATAAACAAAAGAAAGAAGAAGAAAACGCCATTAATGTACAAGAATACGAGAATCGCGATTGAAGAAAAGAGAGTAAAGAGAAGACAAACCAAAGGAGCGAGAACAAAATCGAAGCGGCCATTGTCGGTATTGAAATAGAGAAGAGAAGAAACATCGTCGGAGAAATCAGTTTCAACGCCGCAGAACTTGGAATTGCTATCCTCCCATCCTGCTTTCTCTTCAAACGGCATTTTTGCTCACACTTTGGAGCAAATCGGAGATCGAAAAATGAAGATTTTGATGTTGATCAACGACGACGAAGCTTAAAGGTTTTTGCAGGGGTTTAATTTTGCAGTTCGATTTTTTATAGTTGGGGCCGGGTCTGGTTTTGGTTTACCGTGAACCGGTTTTAATCGAATTGAACCGACGTAACCGAATTGAATCGACCGTTTTAACAAACTTAAAAGTTCAGTAACAAGATACAGCCTATGTTTGCCTTTGTAAACAGTCATGTTCATGTGTCTCGACTTTGCTTTTGTTTTTCTTTTTAGAGTTTGAATAGTTATAAGTTTGTAATTTCTTATAGTAGTAGTCTTCTGAATTAATAAAAGAGAACAGAGAGAAAAATAAGAGTTTGTTTTATTGTTTAACGCTAACATATCAATTATTTTAAGACCAATTCAACTACTTTGAGGAACAAGAATCATGAAGAGGAAAACAAATCGATGTAAAAGGCCATGGAGTTATACTAAAAAAACTTTTCTTCACTCAGAATTTGCTTGAGTGTGTGTAATTTATATATTTGTAATGTTAAGGAAGAGATTGTTGGAATATTTTTGAAGTGTTTCGTGAGATTCATTAGCCCAATTCTGAAAAGAGCACATGTTAAAGGTAAATAGTAAGAAGAAAAAATCTTAAATCATCCTAAACCATGTACTTATTATAGTTTGGTGGGATTTCCCTTAACAATGATCATGATGTTTCACCAGGTGAGTTATACAAAAAAAAATCGAAATTTAAAGAATTTTTTTTAATATATAAGATGTTTTTGAAGAAAATAAATCTAAAAACCATTTGAAAAACCACAACCATTCAAGGCATATATATAATTTTGTATGTACAATATACTTCTTTTAGAAATCATGTATAGATGTAGTGTTTGAATTACATATTGTTAGAGATATTGTTGGTATTGATGATGTTCAATGTTATGTTAATTTTATATTTTAGTTGTAATTTTGAAATAATCAATTGAGTGAAATATCAAATATGTGTAAGTAATACAAATGACAAAATCTGTAAATATTTTAATGAAGGTTAGACAATTAATTAAATGGGCTGAGAAGCTATGTGAGAATGACACGTCAGCATATCATTTTTGTTAATCGCACATGAAAATAAGGTTGTTTTTAAAAATGTTTTTAATTAATAAGGGCTTTTGCCTTTTGGCCTATACGGTCTTTGAAAAAATAAAAAATCAAAGGCTATTAAATATTTGTTAGACTGTTACTATGATCTTGCATTAAAGTGTATGAAATATCTATATATAAAGGAAATCTTTTCTCTCTTCTAAGAATGCCACATCATCTTTTAATTGTCTAAATTGATAAAACTTCATCATCACCAATCTAATGAGCTATTTTTTATATAACACTTACGGACAATTACAATCTAATGTGCTTAATTTCACATTTTTACAAAATAATCAAAACGCAACCAAAGAATTCTAACCAAATAACTTTTTATTTTCTCTTACATATATCCCTCATTCCCACATAACTATTGTTCTTTGATGCCACTATGAATCTATTGGCATACAACAACAACGTTATCACCTTTGAAAAAACAATGATACTCCGTTTTTTAAATCTCTTGGATTCCAAAAAATCCAGACGCTTCTTATAATGGTTTAATCATAATTTCTATTTTACGCTTTTCAGAGATTGTCAACGCTTCTAAATTCTATCATATATATTTGTTTTCTTAGAGTGCCACATCATCTTAAATGATGACACCTCATCATCACCAATCTAATGAGTTATCCATTTGCAGATTACAATAGCTTCATTCGACAATTTTACCAATCCAAGCCCAATTATTAAAACCCATCTCACATGCCCAATAATCAAAACCTAACCAAAGAAACCTAGCTAACGAAACTTATACCCTTTTTCGCACATCCCAGATTATTTTTCGCCGCCACCGTGACTCTGGCGATTTACATCATCGATGCTCTCTTCTCCCAAAAACAACACCACTCCGTCTTCGAAAACTCCTAGATTCCAAAAATCCAGACGCTTGTAGTGATGCTTTAGTCATATCTTCCACCTTTACACTTCTCAAAGATTGGTACTGCTTCTACCACATTAATGACAGGTAATTCTTCGATTGCATCCACAATCATATTTATAAGGGGTGTTAATAGGAATTGGATTTAGATAGAGTTGATTGATTTGTTAAAAATTTCAAAAGCCTTGTTAAATTTGCAGGGAGTTTTGAAATTCATAAATCTCTAAAAGAATTATGTTGTAAGGATTTTAAGAGTTCGATATCCATAATATTTTAAAATTTCTGTGTTTATAAGTTAAATTGTTAGGAATTCTTATCCTAGATTTAAATAGAATTATAGAATCAATGAAAACCACAGTTTTTGAATAGTATACAGTACATTTTGAATGGAATTTAAAAGTTATCATACCATTAACGATGGATCTATAAAGAATGTGAGAATCTATAAACCAATAAGAGTAGAAACTAATAAATCTCACAATCTTTAAAATTCCATCTCACAATAACCCACCCACCCCCTTCTCTGATGAGCTATCCTTTCATATAAATTTTACGAATCATTATAATTTTGTCTATTCAATTCGAAACTTTCACCAACCTAAGCCTAATTTTTAGAACTCACCTCAATTGTCCAATCAACATCCAACTAAAGAACCATAACAAAATAAATTTTTACTTTCACTTACACACATTTCTGACTAATTTTCACCACCACCATAATTTTGACGTCAACAACATCCTCCCCTCGCAAAAAAAAACACTACACAAGATTTTCAAAATCTCTTGGATTCCATAGATCTAGAAGCTTCTTGTGATGGTTTAATCAGCTCCCCAAAGAGTGCCACATTATTCTTTGAATGTCTAAAATGAAGAAACATCATCATCACCAACTTAATGAGTTATCCTTACCCAATTCTTAAAACTCATCTGAAACGTCCCATCTCCGGACTCTAAGTCCAAAGAGGTTGTTTCATACTTAATAGAATTAGATTGTAATTATTCTGAGATTCATTAACAAAAGAGTCGATATGCAATTAAATAAAGGAGACAAACTGGACTTTATTTATTTATAACGGTTTCGAACAACATTAGAGTTTGCACTATAGGCTATTACAATCGTTCGATCCTACACATCCAGACTTATATACATTATTTACACCACCCATCTTCCCGGACAACACGTCTTCCACGTCTAAGCCAAGTCCTTCCCGCGATCATTTTCGTTTCCTGAAATCAACGAGACATAAGTATTCTAGGATTTAACATTCGGAATCATGCTCATGTTATGATGTTCCCCTTGTTTTACCCCGAACCCTTCCTATGACCGTTATACCAAAATAATAATCTTAAGGTAGGATAGGCCACATGAACCGAGTGGTACCCTTGGCCGATCCGTATCACCGGATCTCTGGCCAAGTCGGTCATGCCCTCACCTTTTCCACACGCTCAGATGTTTCCACGTGCAGTCCTTGTTCTTTCATACCGGCGGACTCCGTCGGTTTCTCGATCTCTTCACCCGCCATTGTTAGTTCGCTCGTAACTTCCCGTAGAATCTCTTTGTTTTGATATTCCTTAGGATTTTACGGTGATCCCTTTTTTCCTTCCGTTGCCCCCCGTGAAAAATGACCCAAAGGGTTCTTTTTATACGTTTTTGGGTCGAGGAACCGTTTGTAACCGCCCTTTTGATCGAACGGATGAGATGTGACGGTTTCTTCGGACGAGTAACCATCTCAACCGTTTTTACACGCTTGGTACGTGTTCGTCGAGTAACCGTCCCAACCGTTCCACACGCTTGGTGCGTGCCTATTGGGTAACCGCCTCACTAGCTGGGTAGTTGACCCAGCTGTCCGACACTCCATCCAGCTCGGCCTAGCTACTTGAAGTAACCGTCTTACTAGCTGGGTGGTTGGCCCAGCTGCTCAACACTCCGTTCAGTTCGGCCGAGCTACCCGAGCTAACCATCACTCCCGTCAGCTTGTCGGCAGCTGGTCCAGCTCCCACTTAAGCTCCGTCGAGCTGTTTTCTTCTTTCCTTTTTCACTTAATATTTGGCTAAGTCATTTCCTTCCCGACTTGTCAATACTTTCGGACCATGGAACGAGTTTCCTTAGTTTTTCCGTGGTCAGGCTCCCTTTGTTCCCGACCATGGTCCGTCCCGCGATCCTAGTAAGGATCGGGGATGTTACAAGTCTCCCCCACCTGAGAGGGATTCGTCCCCGAATCCGATTCAAGTGTTTCTTCCTTCTTCATCTTTTCGAACCATCTTGGGAATTCGGCTTTCATTCGGTTTTCCGTCTCCCAAGTTGCATCTTCTCTACCATTACATTCCCAAAGGACTTTAACCATGTTGATTACTTTTCTTCTTGTCTTCTTCTCCATTCTATCTATAATCCTTACCGGCCTTGCTTCCACCGTTAAGTTTTCTCGAAGATCGGGTGGTAACTCCGGTAATAGTACATCTCGATCGGTCAAGCATTTCCTTAGTTGTGATACATGGAATACATCGTGGAACGCATACATTGCTGCTGGTAATTCCAACTTGTACGCTACGTCCCCCACACGTTCCAAGACCGTAAACGGTCCTATGTATCTTGGATCCAACTTTCCTTTCTTTGATGTTCTCGCTTGACCTTTAAACGTTATCATCTTCAAATAAACCCTATCTCCAACCGCAAACGCAATGTCTTTTCTTCGTTTGTCCGCATAGCTTTTCTGCCTATCTTGCGCCTCCTTCATCTTTATCTTGAGTATTTTTATCTTATTTGTTGTTTCCTCGATGATATTAGCGCCAATCATTGTTCTTTCCCCTACTTGTGTCCAACACAGTGGGGTTCGGCACGGTCGACCATACAATGCCTCGTACGGAGACATTCCGATGCTTGCTTGGAAACTGTTGTTGTATGCGAACTCGGCTAAGGGAAGGTGATTTTCCCATGAACCGCCCCAATCCAGTATACAAGCTCGTAGCATGTCCTCCAAGGTTTTTATAGTCCTTTCCGATTGCCCATCTGTTTGTGGGTGGTATGCCGTACTCATGTTGATCCTTGTCCCCAAGGCTTGTTGAAAGGCTTTCCAAAAGTGGGATGTGAACCGCGAGTCTCTGTCGGAGACTATGCTTGCTGGTACTCCATGAAATCGAACGATTTCGTTGATATACTTCTCCGCAATCGCCTTAACACCATCCGTTTTCTTGATGGCTATGAAATGGGCGGATTTCGTGAGTCTATCCACCACTACCCATATTGCGTTTTTCTTTGTCCTTGTATTTGGTAAACCCGTCACAAAATCCATTGTGATGTGGTCCCACTTCCATTCCGGAATTGGTAGTGTTTGCAACAATCCACTTGGAACTTGTTGCTCGGCTTTAACCAATTGGCATGTTGGACACTTTGATACCCATTCCGCCACATCTCTTTTCATCCCTTTCCAATGATAGTATCGTTTAAGATCCCGATACATTTTATTCATTCCCGGGTGAATGGAGAACTTGGATTGATGAGCTTCTTGTAGAATTTCCTCCTTAAGGACCCGCGTCGTTTGGAACACTTACTCTCCCGTTAACAACAATCGTTCCGTTGTTAGATGTTTGATACTCGGTCTTCTCATTTTGTAGCACCTTCTTTAACTTCTCATCCGTACCTTGAGCAATTCGTATCCGTGTGAGTAAGTCTGCCTTATCCGCAGCGCTCAAACCCAACGGTTCTAGATCAGTTGACAAGGCATTGAGATTCATTTCCCCGATCACATTGATCAATTCTTCCATATCCTTTTCTGCCCCCACATCCGCTCTCCTTCGGCTTAAGGCGTCCGCCACCGAATTCGCCTTCCCCGGATGGTACACTATGTCCAAGTCATAATCGGCCACTAGTTCCATCCACCTTCGTTGTCGGAGGTTCAACTCGGGCTGTGTGAAGATGTACTTCAAACTTTTATGGTCGGTGAATATTTGCACTTTAGCCCCATAGAGGTATGATCTCCATATCTTTAATGCAAATATCACAGCAGCCATTTCCAAATCGTGTGTTGGATAGTTTCCTTCATGCTTTCGCAATTGCCTTGATGCATATGCGATGACCTTTCCTTTTTGCATAAGCACGCAGCCAAGCCCAGTTATGGATGCATCCGTATAAACCACATAGGGTTCATCAACTTCCGGTAGAACCAAAACCGGTGCGCTGGTAAGCATGCCTTTCAATCCGGAAAAACTTTCTTCACATTCCTTTGTCCATACGAACTTCGTATCCTTCCTTGTCAATAACGTCATGGCTTGGGCCAAACTTGCGAATCCTTTCACAAACTTTCTGTAGTATCCCGCCAGTCCGAGAAAACTCCTTACTTCGGTTGCATTCCTCGGTGTTGGCCATTGTTTAATAGACCTTATCTTCTCCGGGTCAACCGATACACCTTCTTCCGATACTATATGGCCCAAGAATCCGATACTCCTTTGCCAAAAACTACATTTACTTAGCTTAGCATAGAGTTTCTGTTCCCTTAACCTTGTTAGTACCGCCTCTAGATGTCTTTTGTGTTCTCCCCGATCTTTTGAATAAACGAGTATATCATCTATGAAAATGATAACGAACTCATCTAAACAATCACGGAAGATCCCATTCATCATTTTCATGAATGCCGCCGGTGCATTAGTTAGGCCGAATGGCATGACCACAAATTCATAGTGGCCGTACCTCGTTCTAAACGCCGTTTTCCGAATGTCCGATGGCTCTATCGGGATTTGATGGTACCCCGATGCCAGGTCCACTTTGGAGAACCACTTTGCTCCCTTGAGTTGATCCAGCAACTCGTCTATCCGAGGTAACGGGTACTTATTTTTGACGGTAACCCGATTTATCCCCCTATAGTCGATACATAGCCGGAAACTTCCGTCCTTCTTCTTGACAAATAGCACCGGTGCTCCCCACGGTGAACTACTTGGTCGTATAAAACCTTTTTCCAATAGGTCTTCCAATTGCTTTTTAAGCTCGGCCATTTCTGCCGGAGCCATTCGGTATGGTGCCTTAGAGAGTGGTGTAGTTCCGGGTTCAAGTTCTATCGTGAATGGATCGGACCTATCCGGGGGTAAACCCGACAAGGCTTGGAACACATCCGCGAAGTCTTTTACTACCGGAATGTCTTTCAACTCCGTATTAGTCCCACCCTCCGTACATGAGATAGTGACTAAGTACGCCTCGCATCCTTTCTCGAGCATTCGCTCCGCTTGGATTGCCGAGACTACTAGGCTCCCTGCTATCGGCCGGATCCCTTGGAATTCCAGCCTTTTTCCTTCTTGTTCAAACCGCACCCTACCCCGGTGACAGTCCAACGTTGCCTTGTATTTTCCTAACCAATCCATGCCCAAAATCACTTCATGTTTCTTGAGCGGTAGGATGATTAGGTCAGCCGGCATATTAGTTCCCTGAATACTCACGGGTACCCCGCAAACCAGACCTGATGAGATCATGGTCTGCCCACCCGCCGCCTTTACCATGTGGTGGTTATTCCCTGGTTCCTTTTGGAACATTCCTTTTCCGATCATATCCGGGCTTACAAAACTATGTGTAGCCCCGGAATCGAATAATGTGTGTGTTTCCACACCACCGATACTTAGGGTCCCTACACATTCGTCCTGAATGCTAAGTACCCAACCCTTTCATGCTTTCATGCGATGCAATGTTCGTATTTAAGTAGGATAGGCTTAGTGACTTACCAGTGATCGCGCTGAAGTTACCGGACTCGCCAGTTTCCTTTGTCAGCTCATACACGCGGGGTACCACGGCTTGCCTTTTGGCTTGTGCTGATGGTTCTGGTCCTCCGCGGTTTCCCTTCTCACCCATTTGCCTTTCCACTTGCAACTTCGGGCATTCCCTCTTGAAGTGCCCAACTTTTCCGCAATGGTAACACGGCCTTTGGTCCTCACCCGTCACTTTCACTTGCCTTTGTTCCATCCTTGGGCAGTTTTGTATACCGTGGTTCATACTTCCGCACCTTATACAAGCCCCCATTGACTTCCAGCATTCTCCGCTGTGTCTCTTTCCGCACTTAGTGCATTCACCACGACCACTTGATGCTTTTCCTTTGTCATCCATTTGGTCGTATTTCCTTTTCTTACCCTCTGACTTTTGGTTTCCACCGGGTTGTGACCTTATTCTGGCATGGTCTTCCTCCGCAAGGTTCGCTTCGATCATAGCGGCCCTCTCAACAAGTTCGGAGACTGTGTTGAAGGTGCGGACCGAGCAGTGAGTTCGTAGTTCTACCCTTAAGCCACGAAGGAACCGACGGACTTGTACTGCCTCGTCCTCAAGTTCCCTTCCCACGTAGCGCCTGAGTTTGTTGAACTCTTCTTCATATTCCCGAACCGTTCGACGACCTTGAACAAGATCCAAGAAATCACTCTCGAGTCTGTCCCATGCCTCCGACGGAAAGTACTTCCGGTTAAACTCGTCCTCGAAGTCCTTGAAAGTTTCAATACGTCCCCCTTTGCGTTTATCAACCGCAAGCCACCAGTTATGCGCATCCCCCTCTAGGAAGTGGATCGCGATATCTTTTTTGTAATCCTCCGGGCAACGCGTGGACCTAAAGTTTCTTACCAATCGGCTCCTCCATTCATCCGCTTCTATTGGGTCCGAACTACCCTTGAAGTGTCTTGTCCCAAGCTTAGAGATGTGTCCCAGCAAGCTTAGGTAATCCACCTTTCGGGTAGCACGAACTGGCGGATCTACCTCGATTACTTCAGAGGAATTTTCCGCATTGATTCCCGAGGACAGTTACCGTTGATCGAATCTTGGCAGACTGGCCGGCGGTTGGTCCTTCCGCCGGTAAGGAAGTCTGGGTCAGAATCGCCAATTGGGCCATGACCGTCTTCATTGCGTTCCACATTTCTCCGATTGAAGGAACTGCGGTTGGGATCTCTTCCTCCGTAACCGCATTCACATTTTCCTCAATCAAATTCTCCGTGGTTTCCTCTTGATTTTCCGCATCGCCGATTCTCGGTTCGACAACCGTGGATTTCATGGTGAGGGATTCCACCGGGTCAGTCTCCTTTTCCCCAGCCACAGGACCGGCCGGTTTGGAAGTCTTTCGGCTCGTCATGCCGACTTCGACCTGACTTGTCCCCGCGACTCCTTGTCTTTCTTCCTTTTACTGGATTTGCTTTTTCCCACCTGAAGATTCCAACAAGTTAGTATATCCTAACCAATAAAATCTCCACGAGTTAAAGTAAAATCCTAGCGCAAGACGTTATTGTCCGATGAGTGGTGACCCAAAACCCGACACTTTCTGTCCTAGGAGCAAGCATGCTCTGATACCAACTTGAAACGTCCCATCTCCGGACTCTAAGTCCAAAGAGGTTGTTTCGTACTTAATAGAATTAGATTGTAATTATTCTGAGATTCATTAACAAAAGAGTCGATATGCAATTAAATAACGGAGACAAACTGGACTTTATTTATTTATAACGGTTTCGAACAACATTAGAGTTTGCACTATAGGCTATTACAATCGTTCGATCCTACACATCCAGACTTATATACATTATTTACACCACCCATCTTCCCGGACAACACGTCTTCCGCGTCTAAGCCAAGTCCTTCCCGCGATCCTTTTCGTTTCCTGAAATCAACGAGACATAAGTATTCTAGGATTTAACATTCGGAATCATGCTCATGTTATGATGTTCCCCTTGTTTTACCCCGAACCCTTCCTATGACCGTTATACCAAAGTAATAATCTTAAGGTAGGATAGGCCACATGAACCGAGTGGTACCCTTGGCCGATCCGTATCACCGGATCTCTGGCCAAGTCGGTCATGCCCTCACCTTTTCCACACGCTCAGATGTTTCCACGTGCAGTCCTTGTTCTTTCATACCGGCGGACTCCGTCGGTTTCTCGATCTCTTCACCCGCCATTGTTAGTTCGCTCGTAACTTCCCGTAGAATCTCTTTCTTTTTGATATTCCTTAGGATTTTACGGTGATCCCTTTTTTCCTTCCGTTGCCCCCCGTGAAAAATGACCCAAAGGGTTCTTTTTATACGTTTTTGGGTCGAGGAACCGTTTGTAACCGCCCTTTTGATCGAACGGATGAGATGTGACGGTTTCTTCGGACGAGTAACCGTCTCAACCGTTTTTACACGCTTGGTACGTGTTCGTCGAGTAACCGTCCCAACCGTTCCACACGCTTGGTGCGTGCCTATTGGGTAACCGCCTCACTAGCTGGGTAGTTGACCCAGCTGTCCGACACTCCATCCAGCTCGGCCTAGCTACTTGAAGTAACCGTCTTACTAGCTGGGTGGTTGGCCCAGCTGCTCAACACTCCGTTCAGTTCGGCCGAGCTACCCGAGCTAACCATCACTCCCGTCAGCTTGTCGGCAGCTGGTCCAGCTCCCACTTAAGCTCCGTCGAGCTGTTTTCTTCTTTCCTTTTTCACTTAATATTTGGCTAAGTCATTTCCTTCCCGACTTGTCAATACTTTCGGACCATGGAACGAGTTTCCTTAGTTTTTCCGTGGTCAGGCTCCCTTTGTTCCCGACCATGGTCCGTCCCGCGATCCTAGTAAGGATCGGGGATGTTACATCATCTCACATGGCCAATGATCAAATTCAAACCAAAAACCCTAACTAAAGAAATTTTTACCTTCTCTATCACCCATCTCTGGCTATTTTTTGTCGTCACCATAACTCAGACGACATACATAAACAATGTCATACTCTCACAATAATGCCCCTCCCATGGTGATTTAGTCATAGCTTCCCACTTCACGATTCTTAGAGATTGGAGACATTCCTAGTATGTTAATTACATGTAAATGTTAACTCTTCTACAATTACAACCACAATCAAATTTAAGGGAATGAGGTTTTAAGTGGGAGTTAGGTTTAGTTAGAGTTGCTTGATTTTTAAGAATAAAGAGATTTATAAAGAATGGAGGGCGATTAAGGGGGTGTTATTGGTTTGTGATTGAAATGGAGTTTTGATGACTCTAATAAAATCATAGAAAGTGAAAAAGTGAAAGATTTAGAAGAATTGTTAGAGAGTTTTCAATAGTCTTGTTGATTAGTTTTCTATAATCTTGTAAAGTCTCCCAAACAATCTCAATATTTCAATCATACTTTCCATGACTTTATTTTGTAAAGAAAAGTGTACAAAATCATAAACCAATAACACAATAATTAAAGTCATTAACAATCATAGATTGTTTTGTTTTAGTTGAATAACACAAAATTTTTTATGACTTTATAAAACTCTTAATCCAATAACACCATATTCATTAGGATTTTAAATGATTTTTTACAAGTCACAAACTAATAACACCAAATTTTAAGAGAGTTTAACAAAATCTTGAACGAATAACAACAGATTCTACATAACAATTAAAGTCATTAAAACTCTATTTAAATCACAAACCAATAACACCCCCTAAAGTAGATTTATAAAGATTGTGAGAAACAATAAATCAATAACATGAGAGACTAAGAAATCTAACAATTTTTAAGAGTTAGATTTGTTAAAACTTTAAAGAGTTTCTTTAAATATGAGAGAGTTCTGGAAATTCATAAATTTATAAAAGGATTTTATTATAGAACTCTAAGATTTGTATATCTTTTTTTTTTTTGTCACTCAGAATTATATATCCATATCAGTTGAGTTAAGCGGTAGTTGGATTCAGATAGAAATAGAATTGTTTGATTTTAACAATACAAAGATTTATAAAAAAAAAAAATGGAGAACGATGACACTGAATCTATTGAGATTGTGAGAATCCATAAATCTTCAACATTAGATACTAAGAAATCTAACAATATTTAAAACTCCATATCTCAATAACCTTAACTCTCACCAACCATTTCGATATACAACATGCTTGATTGGTTATCATCAAATCCTATATATATAAATGTTAATTCTCAAAATCCTAATGTTTATCCCTTCCGGCCAAGGACTATCACATTTTATATGGTTTTTTCCCAAGTGCTACTCGAACCGGCAAGTAGATGGTTGTTACTTGCTAATGTGATATGTCTCACCTCCAAAAGTGCATTCGTTCCAAACTGTAAAGTATTAGCCATCTCAAGAATCTCCACTTTGCGTTCCAAATCATCAACGTATCGTGACTTTCTCTGCTTTGAACGTGCAACTGACTCTCGGTTTGCCAATATTCTAAATGAGTATCCATATGATACATGTCATTAAACCATACATCACATAATAATAATAAAGATTAAAAGAAGAAAAACCATTTGGTAATTGTAGTCACATATTGCTTACATTTTGACTCTCTTAGGATCAGTATAATCTCGCCTTACCCAACAAAATTGCAAGAGGAAACTTGACCCAGAAGATTCTCACACTTTATCTAGTCAATGAAACCGGTATCCACTCAAGCACTCTTATAGAGTTTTCCTAAAGGTTTAATGTCTTTGCCTGCTTTTCTTTTCACACCTGAATAAGTCGATCCAGTCTTAAACCCCCTCTCATTCGCATTGCTTGCACCTCCCGAATTGGTAAAACCATCTCCAATGTAAATCTTTAGTTTTTACTCTAAAATAGAGTATGGTTTCTCTCCAATGTGTCATTCTATAACTTACTCTAAAATAGAGTTAGTGTTAAAAAATAGAGTTGCTCTATATATAGAGCAATCCTATCATTTACTATATTTTAGAGTAAGATATAAGGTGAGATTGGAGAAAATGTTACTCAATAATAGAGTTTAGAGGAAAAAATAGAGTAGGATTAGAGATGCTTTAAAAGTTATCATAATATTATCAACATTGTCATCGTCAATAGAAACATTATTGTTATCCAGATTCATAAACTCAGAGTAGATCCCCTTCATGGCTTCGTCATCATATATCAACTCTCCAAAGCCTTCATAGCCACGACTTAAGTCCCAAACAAACATATCTAATAACTCATGGTAGCTCGATCCCGGAAACTCTCAGGGGTCATTAAATTGATCCCAATGATATCAGTGTCGGTCCGTTTATGAGACTTTGTCGGCAGTAGAGTGTTGCTGATGGAATTAGACCTAGTGAACAGTATCCGAGGAAGCAAATGGAGAACAGTTTTGGTTAAACCCAAAGGAATAGTCTCTGTTCTCCACATGTGTTGATGGAGAAGTGTACATTGGTGGGATTGAATTACGACGGATTAACGCCAGAATGAGCTCATCAGTGGAATAGAGGAGTAGACATGCGACAGCTGAGGCATCGACCGTGGTCCATGGTTGGAGTGTGAAAATGAATCACGACGGAACGACGGCTGAGTAGAACTCACAGGCGCCAAAGAATTATGGAACGATGACGATGAAGGACTCGTACGTTCGGGAAAGTAGGAGAAGATAGTCGGCCACTGAGTAGTCCACCATGGTTCGGGGCTGAAATGTGGCGATAGGCTGGAAAACGGGTCAATAGTGGGACTTGCAAAAGGGTTGACAAAGAATTCTAAGGAGACAGTGACACGCCGGTTCTCTAGCCACCATTAGTGCTAATAAGATTCTAGTATTGGCTGGGAAAGATTCTTGTTAGCACTGACGGTGGCTAGAGAAACAGCGGGTCACCATCTCCCTAGACTTCTTTGTCAACCCTTTTGCAAGTCCCACCATTGCCCCTTTTCCAGCCAGGTCGCCACATTTATGCCCCAAACAACAGTGGATTATTCAGTCATCGCCTACCTTCTCTTACTTTCCTAGACGAATCCTTCATCGTCTTCGTTCAATAATTCATTGGCGCTGGTGAGCTCTACTCATCCGTTATTCCGTCGTGATTCATTTCGGCACTCTAACCACAGACCATGGTCAATGACTCAGCCGTCGCATATCTACTCCTCTATTCCAACGGTGAGCTCATCTCTGGCGTCAGTCCGTTGTAATTCGATCACGCTAACGTACATTTCTCCATCAGGACATGTAGAGAACATAGACTCTTCCTTTGGGTTTAACCAAAACCGTTCTTTATTGCCTCATCAGGTTATGGTCATTAGGTCTAACTCCATCAGCAACACTCTACCGCCGAGAAAATCTCATAAACGGACGAACACTGATATCATTAAGACCAATTTGATGACCCCTCCGAGTTATCCGGGATCAAGCTACACTAAGCTATTAGGTCTGTTTGTTGGAAACTCAAGCCGTGGCTAGGAAGGTCTTGCATAGTTGATATATGATGGCGAAGCCATGAAGGGGTTCTATTTTGAGTTTATGAATAACAGTATTGCTTCTAACGATGATGAGAATGTTGATAATTTGATGATAACCTTTACCAATCCAGGAGGTGCAAGCAATGCAAATGAATCCGGGTATAAGACTAGGATCGACTACTTCATGTGTAAAAAGAAAAGCAGGCAAAAACATTGAACCTTTAGGCAGACTTGATATATCATGGTTTTTCCGGCTTTTACATGATATAAGTCTTATTCAGCTGACTTCTTTAGATCATGCCCGCTACCTTTGACCTCTTTCTTTGCCTCGTGAGCTGACTTCTTCAGATCATGGCCCCAAAGTTTAATGAGGAAGTCATACCCAAGCATTGCTTAATTCGGTTTCGCCTGGGAGGTATCGAGCTCTTGTTTCGCCTTGACGGAGTTTGATTTGGATGTTTCCAGCTCAACCATCAGGACCCTTAATTATCCTTTGTTCATTCCCCTTTGATTGAGCTTTCGCCTCATTTTGCTTCTTTTCTAGCTTGACTGTGCGATCCAGCTTCTTAGAATTTTTGTCACCCACCACCTTAAGCTCGGAATTAAGCTGCTCCAAGTCATAAACCTTCTTGTTTATGGCCTATAATTCATGTTGAGGTGCAACACCATAAAGAAGGTTTTTTGTAATAGTGGATCACATCATTGATCTCTACAGTAGCTTATAAATGATAAAGTTGGGTAAAGCACCTAGTAGTATCTTCATGAGTGATATCTTCTTCTTTTATGGATGGGACGGATATTTTCAAGGTCTTAGAAGCTTTCACACGAATTAGAGGCTTCAAAATAGACAACTAAGAAAAATGGAGCTGACGTGGTAGTAGTCTTTTAGTCATACTATTTGTGAAATCAATTATAAAAGCGAAAATTAAAAACTTTCCTACGAAAATTAAATTTTAATATCTAATGAGTAAAAATGTCAAAATTTAGTTGATATAGTTTATTATTAATATTCGTAAAAATATTCTCTATCTACATATCTAGAACATAAATATGTAAATTTGTTATCTCATAGAATGGTTGACATATTGAAGTGATTGCCAATAATATAAAAAAAAATTTATATCAAAATTTTCTTATAACTATATTTTCTTTTCTTTTTCAGTGGTAAGATAAATATTTTGACAACCAATCAAGTAATTTCTTTTTAATTTAAAAGTTTGGTTACCAAAAAAAAAATATACTTTTTGTAATAGTAAAATACTCTATATTATCTTTTTAATTAAAAGCTTTTTAATCAAAAACATGTTAATTAAAAGTTTAAACCCTGATTAAAAACCCTACTCCAAAATTATTAATGTGCGAGGGAGGGAATTTGGCCTGCGCAGCAGAATGGGCCTTTTATAACAGAAATAGCACTGTGTTCATTTTTTGTCGTTTTCTCAAAAGCTGCGCTTCACTTGGTTCCGACGAATCCACCGCATAAATTCACCGGCGACGAGCGAAATTTCGAGAATCTCGGCGGCGAGAAGTGCAAGGACAGTAATACGAAGATGACTAAAGGAGTAGATGGACTCACATTTCCGATGTCGAGAGAATCGGAGTCCGCTTCTCGACTTAAAACCTTCATCTCCGATATGCTTCCTCGCTTCACTGACGATTACTCCGACGACCTCTCTGTTCGTCATCTTCTTCTTTTTCTCTTCATCTTCCTCTTTGTTCTAGAGACGATTCTTAGGCTTTTGTTCGATTTCCTTGGTTTTTACTTGTGAGCTCTTGTACGCACTGTTCTCTGCTCGCTGAAGTAACATTATCTTCGTCGTCTCTCTCATTTATGTGAATTTATACCACGGATTTGATATTTGTGCCTGTCTTCTACTTTTTTCCCTTATCGTTTTGATTGTTCGATGGAAATTATTATCGATGATCGTTTAGCAGCTGATTTTGTAACCGTATTTCGTAGTCAGGCTCTTGTATGAGGTTATGTTGCAGGAATATCTGAGTTACAGGATCTGTAATAGGTCTATGTGTATGTAATCACTTTGTTTGGACTGATTTCATCTTGTTGAATTGTAAATTTGATCTGTGGGAGCAGAAATTGCAGGTTGATGACTGATTTTGTTTTAGAATCAGGTGATTTTCGTGTTTACTGATGAATTAGATCGTTTCAGGAGTATGTTACGGTGCTTGTCTGTAATGGAAAGAATCAGAGACAGGTAAGCGAAGATTTGGAGGCATTTCTTAGGGAGCAATCTTGGAAATTTGTTACCTGGTTTGTTATTTGCATCCCTTCTTTGTTGGTTTGATACAAGTATCGGTGACTGACGTGCGATTTTGATGGGTGTGTTTTCTTTTCAGCTTATGGGAGCTTCTTGTGAACTACTTCTCTCAAAGTAATTCTGCTTCTGGACCTAAGACTGCTGTTGACTTTGGCTTTCATGATACTCTAATCGAACAAGGTTTAAGCTCCAGAAATCATGGTGACTATGATCGCGAAGCTGCCGATGGTACTAATTCGATGAATGTAAGACTAGGACATCTGTTTCTTTCATATGTGTGAATGTTGCACCAGTTTTTGGTCACGGTCTTAATGTGAATGGCTTTGTAGGAACAGCTGATATCAGTTACTGCTCCCATTGAAGACACTGAGGCTCCTGTATCACCAAAAGTTGAAAAAATGAAGATGTTACGACAAGAGCTCATTGATAGCCCTTGTACAAGGGCACGACGAAAAAAGAAAGAAGATTGGAACTCGTCTGGTTACTCTAGAAAAATACTGCGCTCTGTCATTGTTTCAGCCACTAAGCAACCATGTGATAGGAATCCTGCTAAATATGAAAAGGTTGGAAGGTTAATAATTTCTGGTTCTGAATTGGTTTATCAATTGTTTATGCAGTTTCCATCTCTTAATTGATCCTTTCACATATGTGAAGCAGTCTATGAATGAAAGGAGTAGAATCCTAAAGAAGCGCCCATACTTACCAGAAAGAGAACTGGATTCTCAGTTTGTTCCAATAGGTACTATTTTGCTTCTTGACAAGTTATGATCTTCTGAAAATATGACGAGTGACATTTTTGCTCTAATAAAAACGTCTCAGGAAGAGCTGTGTCTCCACACCAAGAAATGGCGCCTCATGTTAGTGTCTGGGACCGTTTAGGCCGAGCAAGCTCCAAACGTGTTCTTGACTCAGAAAGCCGGACATTGTCTAAGTTTGGTATCAAGGCACATGAAAACAAAGTGCTTCAGCAGCATGGACAAGTATTTCCTGAAGTGTATAGTGAACAACATAGCGAGATATTTCAAAGAGAAGTTCCTGCAGTTGGTTACAGGCACAGAGTTTCCCAATCCGATGAAGCAAGGAAACCCGAGAGTGGAATTATCACATCCACTGAACCGCATATTGCATATAACCTGAACAGAAAGAGGCGTTATAGCGTCGTCAACCCCAATTCAGGAGAGTTTAGCAGTGTTCTCCAATATAAGCAAGCTGAAGAGGATGTTGAAATGCCAAGCCTTCTCTCCTATCAGTCCCCAAAGCCAGATATCTTTGCAGTACGTTATTTGATAATTATGCTATATTGCTGTCATTCATGTGAATATTGATTCCTCACATTTCAAATGATGCTGTTCTTCTTTCTTTTATCAGGAAATAAAGAACGTGAAAGAAAAGATGCAAGAACTAGAACTCCGAATTTTTCAATCAAAGCAGTTGAAGAAACAGAAAGTTGAAGAACTCAAACCCTCACCACAATCTGGTATGGAAACTCTGTTTTGGAACAGCTAACATTTCCCCTTCATTTAGAATAAGATATTTCCGCTTAACTACTTCCCTGACTGTCCTGCTGCCTCGTTGCAACTTCTTTGCAGGCGAATCACAGTATCAGCAAGATGTCACAGAATCAAGAATCATACATGTTACTAACGTAAGTCTACAGGGTTTCCTTTTATCTTTTGTTTGTGCAGTCTATTTCCTTATTACACATGAATCTAAGATTGAGAAATAGTCCAATTCTCTCGAATGCATTCTAATTTTGAAACTCACTAACACTTAAAAAACATCTGGAACTCATCTAAATAACTTCTCAATGAACTTATCAGGTATATTATGCAGCAAAGAAAGAAGCTATATCAATGCTCTTCAGCAGCAAGTGTGGAGCTGTCGAAAATGTTACAATTGTAACTGATCCAGTAACTCAGCATCCAAAGGGGTAAAATCCTCTCTTCCTCATAAACCTCTTGTTTGTTGAAATAGACTACGCACAAAGTCACTGTTAAGCAAGAAATTGTCCTTATCGCAAACAAAATCTTCCCTTCTCCAGTACTGCTTTTGTGACTTTTGCTGCAAAGGAGTCAGTTAACCAAGCAATAGCTCTGAGCGGCACAATGTTCTATTCAAGACCCATCAAGGTTCACTTCAATTCTTCTCTATCTCCAACCATATTACTTGTATCTGACACAACCTAAGTCATCCAACTTCTCTGTTTTTCAACATTCCAGGTTCAGAGGCACGTGATAGCTTCTGGAGTAGTGTCGCTGTCAGCACCACAGATAGTTACTGCAAGTTAAACCCAAAAGGAATGGTAATACACAAAGAGCCTAAAAACATGACCTTAGCGACACCGTTGTACAGCCCCTACGAATAGGAAACAAGTGAAAGTCACAATCAGTTCCTCTTTGATCAGATTTTAGTCCATTTACGTTTCATAGAACAGAAACATAGTGGTGGATGATGAATTGACTGAGAAAAGCTTATAAGCCAGAGAAGTGAAGAATTCCTAATAAGCAAACACATGTTGGGACACAGAGTTCCCACATTCGATTTCTTCTTAATTAACACAAACGAAAAAAACAAAATAAAACTAGAAAATCAGTAAGTCTAAAATGGTGGTGGTGGGGTTACTTACTTCTCCTATCATGAGAAAACAAAATACATTTCAGATTTTTATAGATACACAAACACACACGGAGACACATACTGACACACAAACTTATATCTAAAGCCCTTTTTCTTATATCTTCTTCTTCTTTCTCTCTTTGTTATTTGCTTGAGGGGAGGATTATTTAGTCAATCGTCATCGGCTGGCTCAAGCAACATCTGAAACGGGCTTTTCTCGCTGTCGTCATTATCTCTGTTTCCGCAGCTTCAAGCAGCTTCACAACCTCCACAAAACATGGACGGACTTCTGGATTAGCATCCCAACATCGAGTCATGATGTCACTCAGCACGGGGAGACAATCGTTTGGGACTGTTGGACGCACTCCTCGGTTTACAACCGCAAACGCTGCCTGTACAGCTGTCATGTTCTGGAACGGTAATAGTCCTGTGATTAACTCCCACAGCACGATCCCAAAGCTATACACATCCACTTTTTGATTGTAGGCTCTATGCTGTATCATCTCTCTGCATCAACAGAAACATAGTTTATATTCATGTAATTTGCAGAAGCTAAGAACGCAAAAAAGGGTGAAAAATATCACAAGTCCCTTTGGAAACTTACGGAGCCATCCATCTGTAAGTTCCGGTTTCTGGTGTCATTCCTTCGGTTTGAACTTCAATTCTTGCAACACCAAAATCTGCAATCTTGATGGACTTATCTGCTGAGATGAGAAGGTTATCTGACTTGAGATCTCTGTGTATGAAGTTGCGTCCATGGACATAAGCCATACCCCTAGCAACATCCAAAGCCTGTTTGACAGCTAACTTCAAAGGGACGGCTCGGTTCTGTCTCTTAGTCAAAAACTGCCTCACTGAACCTCCTTTGGCGTATTCAGTCACTATACACCACACCATTGGCTTGCGACATGCACCAATGAACCTCACGATGTTTGGGTGCTTCAAATTAGCAAGCATAGACACCTCTTGCTGAAACTGTTGTTCCATGAACTGTGCCTTTTCTGGGCTGTTCTCTGGCCGCTCCAGTATCTTGATCGCTACATCCTCTCCATTGTAAGTCCCTTTGTACAATTTACCAAAAGCCCCTTGAGCAAAGGCAGGACCCATGTTGAGGTTCCTCAGATCAATCGTCCACTCATCATAGTTTGCCAGCCCTTCGGTTGGATACCTGGTATCCATCAGAGCTTGAGCCAAGGCATCATCATTCAACGCATGGGTAACTCTTCCCGGGCGAAACACGCTTTGTCCAACAGAGAGTGAGTAATGGCGCACAGGCTTCAAACCTGGGTGGCCAATAAGAGCATCGCTGGAACCAACACTACTGTTATCCACAGACATTGAGACAGATCCTCCAGCATTACTCGTCTGCATACTCTCCATAGACATGTTTGAACCTTCATTAAGTTTCTGATAAAAATCTTGCGTAAAAGCATAGTAATTGTTGTCGTTGTTGTGATGATTCCCAACAGCAAGCACGTTGAACTTTGCTCCCTCAAGCATCTTCCCCCAATCTAGGATTTACTTGTTACGAATTCACTGACCAAACTGTAAAGACACACAAATAAAATCTTTAGACTAAAAGATAACACAAACAAGAAGCATTAACTCAAAACTAGAAACAAATGACTCATCCACATAACTAGTCATCAGTAAAATGATCTTACTATCCTCAAAATGAACATATCAAACAAGAGAGAAGAGACAAGTACACCAAAAACAACAGCTTTTGCTCTCAAAGACCATGCACATCCCTAAATTAAGAAAGACGAGCTACTCAAAACAAAGAAACCCAAGTACACCAACTTAGGTTAACTATTTACCATAAGATTCGAAAACTTTCATCAGCAGAATCAATACCCATTACAGAAAAAGCAAAGTTGATGACTTTAAAGTCCTAACAGAGATGAAACTACAGATCATGACTCTGAACCAAAAACCCACAAAAAAAAAACACAGATCCGATGAATCAAGTACTGTAAAAGAAGAAATTAAGGTTTACCTAGAGCTTATAAGCCCAATAAAACAGTCGATTACACGGAAGAACACATGAAAGACGCTTCCTTCTCACCCGATGAGTAAAAGAATCGAAGATAGTGAAATTACAAACCCTAGTTCATCGAATCACAAAACCCACAAAACGATTTTTCTTTTCACCTCCGAATCAAAAATCAAATCCAGAGGTTATGATGAAATCAGAAAACCTAAGAAATGAACGATAAATAATAAGAAGAAGAAGAAGAGTCTCTCAGTCGTCGTTTCCCATTTACTTTCTCAGCTTTTGATTTTTTGGTTTTTCCTTCCTTTTTTGTTTATTTAATTTTGATCCGTCCTTTATTGGCAAATTCTTTTATCACTCACACTCTCACTTACAGAGAGTGTATTACACGTGATTTCGAACCAGACACGTGGCTGATTTCGGTTCGGTTTTACGAGGTTGTCGTATGAGGCGGCGCGTTGCCGCTTTTAAAGCTACGGTTACAGTAGTCTTTTCTGATTCACGCTTGTCCTCCCTTCTTATACATAATTATTATTAATTTGCCTAAACCAGCAACTTTTTTTGCCGTTTTATTTCTTTCTCCTCTTTTTCCTCGAAAACGTCCATTTGTTTTTCTTATATTAAAAAAGAATCTCGTAGTTTTAATTTTTTTAAAAAAAATTACACGAAATAACAAATTTTAGAGAATAAATTGTTTCTCCCTTTACACAAGTAGAATTTGGTAAATGCAACTTGTGAAAAGAAAAAAATTTGTTGTATTATTGAGAAAATAAACTAGTAATGGTATTTTTGGAACAAAAACATAATAGCATGGTATTTTAAAGCATTTTTAAAAAAAAATTCTAATCTTGAATTAATATTTGTATCCATCTTTACATATTAATAAAATATTATAATTCCAATATTAAGTTTATTGTAATGTTTGAGATTTCTAAAACAAAATTTAAGAGACTAACGAAATTTTCCTCGAATTTTTATTTTTGTCAACTACACATTAATTAAAAAATCACTGCATGATTGGTAGCCAGGAAAAGTGTTTACAAATGAAATTTCAGAAAATAAACTTTCAGAGTAACGAACTAGGCAATCTGACTTTCCTCGAACTTTTTTCTAGAGCCGACATTCAAAAAAATCAGAGGTAGCTCCAAATCTGTCATACATATCAGAGATTGATATGTTTCCTTAAAGTTAGTTGTTTGTTAATAAGAACTAACACGTGTGAAATTTCACTCTACGGTTTCCCTTGCATTAAGTTCGCTTCACCTTCTTTTGTATCATTTCCCAAAAGTTGCGATGTAAATGCTCCAAATTTGTCGTACATGTCTGAGATTGATATGTTTCATTACAGCTAATTGATTGTTCACATGAATTAACACGAAAGAAGAATTTTACTTTACGGTTTCCCTTGCATTAAGTATTATTTTAAAAATTTTGTTTGGTCTCTTCTCTCCTGATAGTTAAGACGCAAATGCTCCAAATCTACCGTACATGTCAGAGATTGATCGGTACCTTTAAAGTCAGAAAAACACTTGTCAAGAACTTCACTCTACGGTTTCCTTGCATTGTTTATTTTTTTCTTCTGTTTGTCTCGTTTCTTCCAGAATTTAAAACACAAATGCTTCAAATCCGGCATACATGTCAGAGATTGATATGTTCCCGTAAAGCCAACTGTTTGTAGGAAACATGACGTGTGAATAACTTTGCTTGACGGTTTTCCTTGAATCAAGTATTCTCGTGATATCTATTTGTATATTCTCTTTTAGTACTTAAAACGTAACTGCTCAAAATCTATCGTACATGTCAGAGATCGATATGTTTCATTAAAGTCAGTTATTTTAATAAGAATGAAATAACACGTTTGGAGAATTTCACTATACGCGTTTCCTTGCAGTAAGTTCGATTGATCTTCTTTTGTCTCTTTTACCCTAGAAGCAAACAACGCAAATGCTCCAAATTTGTCGTATATATCAGAGATGGATATGTTCCCTTAAAGTTAATTGATTGTTCACAGAAAATAACAAGTGTGACGAACTTCACTTTACGGTTTTTCTTGCATTAAATATTCTCTTAATCTCAATTTGTCTCTTCTCTTCAAATAGTTTAGACGCAAATGATTCAAATATGTCGTATATGTCAGAGACTGATATGTTTCTTTATAGTCTACTAATTAGTCATAAGAAAGAACACGTGTTAAGAACATATCTCTATTGTTTCCTTTGCATTAAGTATTCTCTTGATCTTCTATTGTCTCTTTTTCTTTCTCTTGATCTTCTATTGTCTCTTTTTCTTTCTCTAGTAGTTAAGATGCAAAACTTTATAATTACTTCTTTCAACCAGCAATTACTACATTCGAATTCAAAGTTATGTTTTTTTGTTCTACTAAGTCATTGTTAACTTGCTTTATTTTTGAAAGTTGTTGACTCCATTAAGAGTCTAGGAGAACCACACTTCCAAATGTGGATCCTAAACAATATTGTTTAAATGACATAAGTAAAAACAAATTTCTCAGATACAAGTATTTCTGCTGCAGAGTTGTTGCTTAACCTTAAATGCCTAATGTTTTATGCATCAAGGATTTTTTTTTTGTTTAAATGTATAATTCATTGATCTTGCAAATATGTACAAAGTGTTAAAGGAGAAACAAAAACATCTGCCTACAAATCAAATACAAAGTAAACACTTAGGAGAAATAAAGAGATATTCCTCACGTTGGAGCTGCAGCAAACCATCTCTGGAGTAGGAGTCGAATATGAGGGCGAGATGTGTAGTCTAATGACGCAATCCTATTACGTATGATCTTGTCAATAAGCTTGATGCCATCTGTGGGGCTGAGGAATAGACACCACTATGTATGCGAGCATTCTACTCTCTCCATGTTGTTTTCATTTGATTCTTAGAGTCTATTCATCTGTGGGGCTGAGGAATAGACTAGAGTATCTTATATGATCTTTTCCTAAATATAATCCATATTTTATTTAAATTAAAAAGAGTTTTGGCTATGGATCGGGTCTTGTCGATCCAAGAATGTCAAAAAAAAAAAAAAAATTAAAAAGAGTTCAAAGTTCAATTTATCATTTTGCTCATTTAAGTCCTCACACAAAACAAATAGATAAAACAATAAGTCATTATCTTTCTTAACATAAGCTCGATTGGATTGGTTTGTATTGAAAAAAACAAATGTTGATGATTAGCATGGGTTTGGTAGATGAATAATTCTTAGGCCCAAGAAACGGACAACTTCAATGACCACAACAAATTTTACTTTAAAAATGAGTATGTGTAACAAATGTGAGAAAAGTAAGCTAAATCACATGCATAACTCGCATCTCATAAGATATTCTGAAAATTACCTAGATTGACTCAAAACTGGGCAATAATAACTAAAATGACTCTTATTAGTGATGGATAACTAGACTAACACAAATTTTTTGTAAAAAGACCAATTAACCTTAATCTAGATTTCTACAACATTTCTATTCACAAAAAAATAAAATTATTTGAATTCTGAATATTAAAAAAAAAAACAGAAAAAATAAGAAACAAAACAACTAAAGCAAACACAAACTCGATTTAGGTCATCTTTTTTCTCCCAAATCAGACTTTCCTCTCATGAGGCCACGTTTTTTTCACAAAAACTAAAGAGGCCACGTTTTTTTTTACAAAAACCCTAGATGTCGACATTTACTGTTTTAGCGGTAAATATGGTAACTGCTCTAATAAGTCTGTCATTACAAGGAAAAAAAACTGTCACCACTGTAAATATTATTATAGCAAAAAAAATCTGCAAAAAAAAAACACTGTTATCAAAGGGGTTCATAATTACAAATATGTCGTAACATACAAAATTATAAAGGTCATTCCAACAATTTTTTTTACTTTATCAAATCTGCCATCAAACGACAGATTTGTGGTAATATAATTTAATCTCTCATAACATAAAACAAGTCTGTCATAACATAAAAGATTATATTTTGTAAAACAAATCTGTTGTAACACGACAAATTTATGGTAACATTATAAAAATCTGTCATAACATATAACAAATCTGCTACCATTAGACGTCAATCTAGTTCTTAATTTTTAATCAGCAAATCTGTTACAACATGGCAATTTTTTTCGAAAATAATAAATTTGCAGCTTCTTACAAATTAAATCAGTCAGACATTACAATAAGTCTGTCACAAATTGTTAAAGTCTGTGGTTGAATGAAAAAAATCTGTCAAAAAAAAACAAATCTGCTAAAATTCGGTAAGTCTGTCGTAACCATATTCTAAAAAATATGTCATAGACAAATAAGTCTGCAGTTTATAAATTAATCTGTCACAACTAGATAGCAGAATTTTCTAAAATTGCTGGAATTTTTTATGAAGGGTACTTTTGTATATATATATATATATATTTTTACACATGAGATAAGGGTATTTTAGGTATGAAAATAACTCATTTAACCCAAATTATTTGTGAGTCAATCTAGTAATTAAACTCAAAATTTGGGTTAATCTAGTAACTCTCCCTAATATATTCTGTAGAATAAAACCATTTATATATTTGCTTTTTTTTTTCAAATATTTGGACATTCATCATTGGTTACTTTCGAATCGACCTACAGTTAAAAAAAAGTAAGTAAAAAAGTAGCATTAGAAATTTACTGCTTCCATATTTGGACATTCATCAATATTGGTTACTAATTAGTTTTTTTTTGTTCGTGTCGTCGCAAATTAGGGTTCTAGTTAATAAACAGTCCCATCATATACTTGTCTTTCAATTTCCTCGTCACTCATTTGATTTACACAGCAAAAGCTACTCTCGGCAATAGCTCTGTCGTCCCGGAGAAGAAGATACGAAGAGAAAGAGAGAAACAAAATGGCGACAATCGACAAACAACTCTCCCCGAAGGAATCTGACATCCGAGTGATGGTTGCAGCTGAAGTTCACTTCAGAACCAAAAATTGCAAATACCAAATGGAACGTTACGTCTTCAAGCAACGCAATGTTGGTAAAATTTTCTCATCATCTTTGATCAGAGCATTGAGAATTTTGTGTTGCTTAGCTAGATTTAATTTGTTTTATTGAGTATGAATGATCAAATTGAGGTTTCTCATTGAGTGATTTGTAGCATATTTCTAGTGTTTTCTCTAAGTTCTTGTGATTGTACTAAGTCTAATGGAACGTTTGTTGTTAGTTATTTACATCTTCAATCTTGAGATAATATGGGAGAAGCTTCAGATGGCTGCTAAAGTTATTGTTGCTGTCGAGAACCCTCAAGACATTATTGTTCAATCAGCTAGACCTAATTGACATAGAGTTGTGTTGAAGTTTGCTCAATTCACTAGTGTTAATGCCATTGTTGGAAGACACACTTCTGGTACATTCACCAATCAAATGCAAACGTCCTTCAATGAACCTAGGTTGTTGATTCTTACAAACCGGAGAACCGACCATCAGATAACATCCTCAACATTCCCATCATTGTTTCTTGTGATACTGGAATCCTAGTAAACAATAAGGGAAAGCACAACATTGGATGTGTTTTCTGGATTCTTGCTCCTATGGTCCTTCAGATGCGTGGAACTATTCGTCTGGAACAGAAGTGGGTTCTCATTGTAAGAGTAGGGGATATCACTTTTATTGTTTATCTCTTATAAGGGTGGTACAAGTCGATAATGTGTTCGGATTGTTCATGTTTGGTATGTTTGTGTTGTACATATGGACTTGCTCTTTTACAGGGAACCCGAGGCGGCCAAGCAATTGGAGGCAGATTTTGCTGCTCTTGAATATGGAGTGATCGGTGAAGACCAATGAACCACTGCTCAAATCCCTAATGATGCGTGGCTATAGGAAGCTCAACAACCAATTGTTGCTGCTCTCACTGCTGCTTCGTGGAGTGATGTGAGTGGTTACGTAATTCGGTTTCTTTCGAGTTTCTCAAGTGTTAAGGTGTTGGGGTTAGTGCCAAGCCGAGGTATGTTTTACACATCACTGAGATAAACTTATGATACATTACACATTTTTTTAAATTGCAACACTTTGTTTTAGTGAAATGGTGATACTTAAGTTTATGGTCTTTGTCAAGTTTGTTGCTATACCTCGAATTAAGAACTGCATTATCTTTAATATGTGTTGTTAACCTTAGCAGCATATAATAAAGGATTAGTTCCTCCATACTGAACTAGATATTAAGTTACATTTATAAGCAAGATCTGTACAATTTTAACACTTTCTCCACAAGGGAAAGACACTCTATTGCATCTCCTTATACTACGAGCATGCAAATTGAGGATTCAAGTTTGTTGTCTATGTACGTAATATCTGAATCTTGTAATTGCCTCTTCTTGTGTGTATATTAGTTTTTTCTTGGAAACAAAACTTACTGAGGCACTGAGATAGAAGCACCACTCATATGTTCCTGCAAATGTTTAGTAAAAAAGAAATCAGTAGGTGAGTATAGTAATAGATTTGAGTTTTTGGTTTTAGCTTTTATTGCTTCTCACCAGTTTCAAAGAATTTTGGCTAACAGTTGGAGATGGTACAGGGCTATTACTGACTATAGAATGTGATGATTCGTCAGCAAGTGTTCTTAATCTGTTTAGCTCAGGCAATATAACTTTAGCAAGATCAGGTCTGTCTTTTCTCCTTAGCTCTGCACATTTAAGAGCTAATTTAGCAAACTCTTCTGTGTCTTCCATTGGCCAATCAGAAACAGCTGGATCGAGTAAATCAGCCAAAGTTCCTTTCTCTAGTGCTCTCTCAACATAATGAGTTAGACCCATTGGTGGTTTTGCTGTTATCAACTGCAGAAACATAATGCCGAGTGAGTAAATGTCGGATTTCACACCCAACATTCCTGTTTGCTGATACTCTGGATCGATGTAACAGAACGTGCCCGCGGTTGAAGTCATTCGGTACTGTGTAACCGTGTCTGCAACCGATGGAGGGACTAGCCTGGCTAAACCAACATCAGAAATCTTGCTGACGAAGTTACGGTCTAGCAAGATGTTTCCTGGTTTGAGATCACGGTGAACTAGAGGCTCAGGTTTAGCCTGGTGCAAGAACATCAGTCCAGTACCTATCTCAGCAGCGATTCTGAACCTCATTTGCCACGAGAGAGGTGGGCTGTTTCCTAATCTGAAAAGACGATCTTCTAAGCTTCCATTAGCCATGAACTCATAGACTAAACATCCGCATTCCGGGCAAGCCCCAAGAAGTAGAACCATGTTAGGATGCCTAATGCAGCTCAATACCTCAACCTGTGTTTCAAAGAAACTCTCAAATGAGAAAGAAACAGAGGAATAAGGAGAAACTGATGTGTGTTTATTACAAGATGTCATTACCTCTTGTTGAAACTGAGATCTTCCTTGAGCTGCATCGGGACGAAGAACTTTAACAGCCACTGGTGTATGATCAAGATAACATTTGTAGACAGGTCCATAACCACCTTCTCCAATCTTATATTTCTCAGCGAAAAACTCGGTTGCAAGCTCAATCTCTTCAATGGAGTATTTCCTATACCTGACATCTGAGTTTGCTAAAGCAGTAAGGGCCTTTGTTTTCTCCTCAGACTCCTTTAGAGCTTTCATTTCCGCGTTGACTCTCTTCTTAGCCTCTAATTCAGCAATCCTTTGAGCTGCTTCAGCTGCCTCCATAGCCGCTTTCGACTTTGCTTTCTCTTTCTCTGCAATGGCTAATGCTGCTTCCTCTGCATGTCTTGCCTCTTCTAGTTTCCTCTCTTCTTCTAACTTCCAACGTTGAAGCTCTGTTGCCTACAATTGCCAAAACATACTTTTAGATTTCGAAAACCATAAACACTTGTTTTATAGAAACTCTACCTTTTGTTTTGCTGTGAGTGCTTCTTTGCAAGCTGTACTGTACATTTCCATAGTCTGCTTCAACTCCAGTTTAAGCCTCCTCATCTCAGCCTCTACATCATCCTGCTTTTGGTAATTGTCAAAATGTTAATAACATTAGTTATAGACCGAACACGAGGAAGCTTTTATCGGTCTTACTATTGATTGAGAGGCGGATGAAAATCTTTCGCTCTCAAACGAGCCTGTTGAGTAATCAGTAGGTGAGTTCATATCCACTGATCTCCTTCCATAGTTGGAAGACTGATCAAGGATAGAACTATTGTCCATGTCTGAGAAATTTGAAAGTCTATGAGGAGTTCTGTTTGGATCATTGTTGTCATATAAAGAAGGGAAGATACGGTCAATGCTTGGTCTTCCAGAACTAATAAAGGATATGTCTGATTCCGGAACAGACAGATCTCCGTATGATTTCCCATTGCCTCTTCTTGTAAAAGGAGATCTGTGTTTCATCCATGGAGATTTTAGTTTCAAGATCATGTCTAAATGAAAACACATACAAGAGTGGTTTTTACCTGAAGGACTCTGATTGATCCTCCATTGACCTACGTTGTTGATCCTCCATAGACCTACGTTGTTGATCTTCGACAGACCTTCGTTGGTTAGACTCAAAAGAACGTCTCTCAGCTGCAAAAAATGAAGATGGAAAAACAATTTTTAAGGTGAAATCGACAAGCGAAAGAAGCGGAAAAGCAGAGAAGTTCTGGTTTTTTTTTAACAACCTCGCATACTATTAGCAGATGTAGAAGGCATAGGTTGAGGAGGCTTTAAGCTAGGTGGTTGAACTGGACTGCGTAGAGGAGCAGTCATGGGTGCAGAACGAGAAGCTGATCTCATTGTTTGAATCTTTCCTTTGGAGATGATATAAACCGTGCAGAAATCAGGCGCGTTTTTTGTTATGTTGCCTGGAATATCTGTAGGCTTGTTGAACCTGCAACATTTAGCAATCCACCCTTAATTGAGAATCAAGATTCAGCCAGAGAGACAAAGAAGGCAAGGAAGTGGTTATTTTTTATACCTGAGAAAACCACCTTTGCTGGAGGAACCAACTACTAAAACCTCAATGGCGGCTTGGTTTACGTATTCGACCAATGCTTTGGCAACATCGGACTCCTCAAGCAACACATCTTGGCATTGAATCTAGACAGTTTAATTCCAAAACACCATAAGGATACAAGAGAGACAAACAAAGAAGAATCTAAATCAAGAATACTAACATCTTTGCGGGTGCAAAAGCAACGAAAAGGAAGGAATAACTCCTTGGAAATGCCTTCTGGATCTCTACATACCAATGAAGAATCTTGGCTCAGCTCTGAAACAAAAACACAAAACAATCAGAAACCAGTAAAACAAAAGAAAATAGAGAAAAAAAAAATGATATAGAAGAATGATAGGGTTTGTTTACTTGCAGAAGAAGCATGAAGAGAAGGGCTATTATTCAATGGAGAAGGTCGAAGCTTGACGTGGACGAGAATGACGGATTGGCCTCGCTGCAACAAATGATCAACAGCCCATTTAAGAGCGTGTTGGCTGCTTTTGTCTTTATCTATTGCAACAGCTACAATTCCGCTTGATCCTCCTTCCTTGACTCCCACGTTATTGTTTTTCGGCATCCACATCTTCGTCTCTCTTTCGCTTTCTCTCCTTCAGGATTCAATATTCAGGCCAATAAAGAACTTGAGAAGGAGAAATCGAAAGAGAGAGAGACGTGTTTCGAGGTTCAAAGATGGTTTCTCTATTTTTCATTTTGTTATTTTGTAAAGATAGCGAAATAAGTGGATGAAGATAGAAAAGAGAGTTTCTATAAAAATACATTGTCTCTTGTTTTGTATCTCTCTCTACGAACGTTTCTCCTTCTTCTCCGCCTCTTCTTCCTTTGACCTCTTGACTTCTCTTTCCTATTAACTGAAATTTTCTTCGACAATTTACCAATTTGTGTCTAGATTAATTTCCACGCAAGTGTAACATATAAAAAAGTAATTATATAAAATGAAAAAGAACACAGTTTTTATCCAAGGTAAAAGATAGTTTCCAAAAAGACAATTAAGAAGATAACGTTGTTACAAGACAATTCACCATTAAAAAATATCACAAATACATTCCAAACCTTTCTAAATATTACTAAGGAGAGAGAGTCGAAGTCAATATCTTTTATTTTGTTCTCATCTCAAACCTTGAATTTTCTTCTTTTTCATTTATAGAAGTTTATTTATTACCTTGCTACAATGTGAAAACCGAGTCAGCATGGATAAAATTTGATCAGATTTGTGTGAGGTCTAGTAGTATTATTCATAATAAATATACAGTATGTTGCATAGAAACGGAAACGCGGAAGCGAAATGTTTCGGAAACGGGAAACCATTTTTCTCTAAAATTAGATAATGGCAACGTTTTGGAAACATCATTTTGGGAAAACGTTTATGTCACTGTGATGAACACATAGTAAAGACTTTAGCAAGAAGAAAACATTCATGAGTAACGCTTTATTTGTTATACCTTACTTAAATCATGTTTTAAACAGGAAACACGAAACAACCACACATTTAACAGAGAGAAAATGCTTTATTTGTTATATCTCTTTTTTTTTTTTTTTTTTCGCCATTTGTTATATCTCCTGAAGATGTTTTTACCCTGATATCAAAACTCTAGACCAAGCATTGTCAATAGGCCTTTTCTCAAGTTCATCCATATTCGTTCGCCGTTCGCGAAGACATCAAGAAATGTTGAATATGAATTCTACCAGTTCAAAGTGTTCTTTAATTGAGAAACCTTTGTTATTATTCACAACGTCTTCCACATTCAGTAATTCGCCGAAGTGAAAGATTAATTGGTTATAAACGTTTCAAACTAATAGTAAGCAAGAAAGACTCTGTGGCCCAATGGATAAGGCGCTGGTCTACGAAACCAGAGATTCTGGGTTCGATCCCCAGCAGAGTCGAATTCTTTTTACTATTTTTTTAATTACGAATTTGTCGAATCTCAAGAACAAGAAGATTCTGTTTTTGGTCTCATAATCGGAAAACTCGCACAAGTCAAGAGGAAGAAGATGAGTGGTACAGTGGCAATACACAGTGTCTTCGTCTACGGCAGTCTCATGGCGGACGACGTCGTTCGTCTCCTCCTCAACCGTATCCCTCAAACCGCCTCCGCAACACTCCCTGATTTGTACGATTCCATCTCTGTGAGATCGATTTTGGTTGTTGAAATTGAAAAAAAATTGATTGTGAATTTTGAGATTATTGCAGCCATAGATTCAGTATCAAAGGTCGTGTTTATCCCGCGATTCTACCAGCTAAAGCCGATAAAGTCTCTGGCAAGGTCAGGATCCGAATCAGATTCGTGCTCATGCCTTTAGGGATTGGGGAAATTTTGAATTTGTTGTTGTGCAGGTGTTATTTGGACTCACAGATCATGAACTTAATGTTTTAGATGAGTTTGAAGATATTGAGTATGAAAGAGAGAATGTTCAAGTTTTGTTAACAGTGAGTCATTTTCAGATTCATTTTTCATCCATTTTCTATAGAGAGAAAAATTGTGTTGTTGTTCTTGCGAAGAGTCGATAGATGCAAGAACAACAACAAGACATTTATTCTCTATATTTGATTTGAATGCGGAGATATTGAAATATATGTTTCCTACTTCAATTCACAGGATAGCTCAGACGAGAAACTGCAAACGAAAACCTATGTTTGGGCTAAGAAAGATGATCCTGACCTTTACGGTACATGGGATTTCGAGGTTAGCTACGGTAAGTTGTTCGTATATTAGGCTCTGTCTCTGGATCATTACTTATTTGAATTGGGTTTCTTTTGTATTTTGAGAAGGAATGGAAGCAACTTCACATGGAAGGTTTCTTGAAGATGACTAAAGAATTTGCTGAAGAGTTGAATGTACCGGAATCTGAGATATGACTCGCTGCCACATTCGGGTCAGTAGATGAAATCTGGTATAGTTTCCTCAGTGGAAGAACACTAGAATTGGTCAATATATTCTTGGTATTCTCTCTAGGAAGGGTTAGATTCTTCTTTATGAATACACATACATGAGGGGCATTTGGGTTCTGTGGTATTACTTCAATTAAACAAGGAATAAGAAAACAGCTGCAGGTTCTTGTGATGTATGTTATAATACAATACACATATAGTCATGTGTTTAGTTTCGATTGTTTGTTTGCATTTATCTTTTACGAGAGCTCAATTGCTACTATGTTTGAGACGAATTATGTGAATTTGCCACTATACTAGTTATGGATTTGGGAAGAAACAAAATCAAGATGTTATTGGAAATTGAAAAGCAAAAAGTGGACAACAAATGTGTTGTAGTCTTGTAGATAACATCAACTTTTATTAGTAACTAGGTAAGGTCATGTGCTGTAGACAATTTTGCGAAATAAGTCACTTAAAATTAAAATTACAATTTATATATATTAAGGTCTCTATATATTACATAAGAATTTTTATTTTGTGCGGTTTAGGAATTGATTTGCATTGTTTTATCTATATCAAACTTTCTTTTAATTTGTTGATGAGATACATCATAGATGTTATTGTTAGTTAGATCCTGAGCATTTTGAGTTATCTCCAACGATTACGGTTATAAGAAATTAAGCTTTCAATTTTACACAAGATGTGATTTACATAACTTTTTACCACTGAAGTAAATGATTCACCGCCCAACTATCGGTGGCATGTAACAATTGCAGCACAAAAGAATACATCAATCAACAACATAACAAAATGGTACGCTTTGCCACTAAAATAGATGACAATCATTAAAAAAAAATGGCAACCATAATATTTTTGCTTTCTATGTTTCTAATGGGCCTTCTTTTTTAGTCAACAATAAATGGGCCTTCACAGGACCCATTATCGACCCACTAATTATAGTAATCACGAACTTTGTTTTGAGAATCAACCGCCACGGAAAGTTGGATTGAGGAAAGAAAAATGGCGACTTGGATAACGTAAGGATTTTAATCTCTCCAGCCCCTTTGGGGGAAATCATTTTTTGCAAAACCCCTCTTTATTCTCACTACCCCCACTCTTTCCCAATTTTTCCATAAACCAATTTTACCCTTATCCTTCCTTTATCTATTTAATTCTATATTTAATTTAATACTAACAAATTCTTTATTCAACCAATCATAAACATTCTCTCTCTTCTCTCATTAAAATCTAAACCTAACAAACAATCCACCTTCCACGACATAAATCCTTCGTACGTATCTTCTTCTTCTTCTTCTTCTTCTTCTTCATCTTCAGCAGCTCCGACGTTCTTCTTCAGCAGCTCCGACGTTCTTCTTCTCCATCCACCATTAAAAGATCCATATCTCCTTCTTCTTACGATTCAAGTATCTCCAAACTAAAAGCGAATTCTTCTTCTTCTTACGATTCAAGCATCTCCAAATTCTTATCTCCTATTTTCTTTTTTTTTCTTCTTCTTCTTCTTATTCTTATTCTTCTCCATCCACCATTGAAGCTCACCATTAAAGCTTACGATTTTACATCTCCAAAGACATATCTCTTCTCTTCTTCTTCTTCTATTCTCACCATACTGGAAGGTAAGTATACTTGTTTTCTTAGTGTAGTATGATTGAGAAAAGTTGAATTTGTAGCTTGAATAGGGTTATTTGTTGAAATATTTTGGGATTACAGATTTGGGACAACTGAAACCATTAAGTGCAACTACATAGAATATTTACGGAAACCCTAAGTTTGGTGCAACTGGGACAAATGTGTACAACTATGTTAATGGTCTGCTACGAAAGTTGTGAAATTATAGACTGTTTTTTCTCTCTTTCTTTTTCAGGGACAATGAAAAGGAATTCAGTCATACGCTTTGATGGAGACGATGCAGGTGGTTTACCAATGATGATGACGTTGATGGAGACGATGCGGGTGACCAAGGTTGATTTCTAAGTGCTATTTATTAAGATAATTTAAGAAACGATGTTGTTTGTATTGGTTTTGTTTGTGAAACTTATATGTTCTGTGTTGTACAACTAAGTTTTAGCAGGTACAACTATGGTTGATTTCATTGTCGTATCTGTGCAAATTAAGTTGTTCAGTCTTGGTACAACTAAGTACAACAGGTACAACTAAGGTCTATTGCCTTGGCCATTTTTATAATATGAAAAATTAAAACCAAATTGAAAAAACTTAAAAAAATGCATACCCGATGGTAATAAAACTACACAACAAGTTCTTGACAAAAAAATTCAAATTTTTCTAAAATAATGAAATTCTTACACAAAATCCCACATTCATACGCTGACAACCTTATACTTTCATGGTTACTTTGTAGTTTTGAACTAAAATTTTATAAATTTTTGAAATACTTGTATTTTGATAAATATAAATACATAGATACAAAGTAATGGTATTTTTATGAGGCAATGCCATCGGTTCCACCCACAAAAATTAAATTAGAGTTGATAACAACTAGATTTACTAAATTCTCTATATTATACAACTATGGGCAAAAATGTGCAACCGGGTACAACTGTACAACTATGAACAAATTTGTGCTATTTTTTAATTATTTTTTTCAAAATAACGGCGCCAGGTAAGCTATTTGTCAGATCTTTTTAGATATTTTGAGATATTTTTAGATTCTTTCAAATATTTTAGATATTTAACTGTTTTTTTAATCAAAACCCTTACAAACCTACATATTTGTCAGATTTTTTGGAAAATTAAGATTTTTTTTTTTTTTTTTTTGGTTTAAAACCTTTAGATTAATATTCAATACATAGAATCATACATAAAAATATTAAAATTCAGATTCAAACATAATTAGATAGGTTTTTAAACCAGAAAACATAAACCCAGAAACATAGTTGTACTTGATCGTACCAGTTGTACCTAAACACTTAGATTTATACATCAAAATCAGAAACCTGTTGCCTCGCCTAAACACATACATCAAAATCAGAAAACAATTGTATTTAATAACCCAACTACCAACACTTATTCACAATCTTTTCCTGCCTCGCCTTCTCTTGCTCAATCTTCTTCCTCGCCTTCTCTTGCTCAATCTGGTTTGGATCAAATTGCTTTAGTCTTTTAGATCTTCTAGGAGAAGATAATCTTTCTCTTCTAGAACTAGATCATCCTCCTCTAGTAGTAGTCATTCTCCTTAGTTCCTACAACAACACATGATATTCAATATCAAACATTCAAAGGATAAACAATCTCATAATCTTTAGTTTTTAACTCATTTCATAAACTATCTATACGGAACAAATTCATCAAATCCTAATTGTAATCATACAACTAGTTACAATGGCTATTAGCAGAGGCAATTTCAAATCCGAATTGTAATTCAAATCCAAATTGTAAAACCCTCACAGAGAAGAGGAGAAGTTCTCATAAGAAATCAAAACCTAATTAAACCCAACACAATCAATCGAAATTAGGGATCTAACAAGTGAAATTCCATAAAAAACGCATCTGTTTCAAACAAAATCAAAGAGAACTACATATCAAACCCTCACAAAGAAGAAGAAATCGGAACAAATCAAAACCTAATTAAACCCAACACAATCAATCGAAATGAGTGATCTAACTAATGAAATCTTACCAAGAGAAGACACGCCAGAGTTCTCACGGCGGATTCTTCGATTTCACGGTGGATTTCACGGTGGATTTCACGGAGAAGAAGAGAAAGGACAATCTTTGGATCAATAGAAACGAGTGAAGAGGGAAGAAGAAGAAGACGAAAGAGGATCAAGAGAAGAGAGAAGAAGAAGGAGACGAAACGAGATCAAAAGAGTTAGGGTTAGAGAGATTCAGAGATTCACAGTCTCTGATAGAGAGAAAACGAAGAAGATGAAAGAATAGCGTTAGGGAGTTAGGGTTTGTGTTTTTCGATTTGGGAATTAAAAGATCCGAAATCCGACCCAAAATATATGGATCTAGATCCAAAATCAGGTTTGGATCAGTAAATAAATCAAAAAGCCCAGTTTTATTTGTCTTTTACTATTTTTCTGAAATAAAATAACTAATTAAACACAAGTTTTTTATATGGGGGGCTAAGTAGAGAATGATTTGAGCACAGGGGGCCAACGAGATTATATTCCATAACGTTACAGCCTCCGAATTCATCTTATTTACGTCTCATGCCATCACCATCACCATCACCATCACCATCACCATCACCATCACCATCGCCGGCGTTATTCCCGCCGCGTCGACGTCATCATCGTTATCTCTTTAAGCCATTTCGATGCGTTCCACTTCAGCAACAAGAACCCCAGCTCGAGCAGGTACCAAACAAACGTCAATGAAACTGAAATCGGATTGTCTCGAAGTTTTGATAATTGATTGAAGATTTTTCGTGAAGGGTGATTTCGATGAAGCAGTGATTTTGTGTGAGGATTGTAACGGGAAAGGATGGTTGCTCTGCGATTTCTGTAATGGACAGAAAACAAATGTGAAGTCTGAGAACAATCGAATCTATCGACGTTGTCCAACTTGTAAAGCTGTGAGTTTTCGTAACTTCAATTAGGTTAAACAATTGATAAGTAAGGTACGAGTGAAGCTATGGATTGGTTATCTGAATTTGGGAACTTGAATGATGTGATTACAGGTGGGATTTGTGTTGTGTAGAAAGTGTAAAGTGTTCAAGTGTGTCACATTTCCTAATTCTGAAGACGGCGATAAACTTATGTTCTAAGCTCTCCTTGTGGTATCAAAACTCTTCTTCTCCAACTAAGGACACCATTTGAGTTTTCAGGTTCCTTTCTTCTTCCAATTGTTATATATAACTGTTGTTCTTACTCGCCAAGCTTGAATATCAAATGTAGCCATATGTATGATAAGCACATTGTAACATTAATCAGACTAGTGATTGCATTGGCTTCTTTACTGATCTTTATGTTCATGTGTGAAGCTGACTTTCTAACCTTTCCTGGTTGATTTTTGTCTGTAATGTGTCTCATTGATTTATCCTTAAAAAATGTGATTTCATTGTCGTTTAGCGTATAACCTCGACACCCATATTTAGAGCAGAAAACTATTGAGTCATTGTCGTACACTCCAACGGTTTTTATGATTCCAAGGCATATGGTTAATCTTCTGCTGGATCTTGCTGTCTATATAGAACCTGCAATTCATTATCCTCGATATCAGGTTCAGGAGATAAATGCACATGTATTAGGTGATTTGTTCTAGATGGTGTTAAATCTCAAGGTACAGATGTCATGTGGTGTTTTCCGTTTTATCGGATCTCTATGTTTATGTTTTGACTTTGACTGTCATTAATCATTTGGCAGAGAACTAACATGTGATTTTATGAACAGCTTTATCTCCCTTTCTTGAATCATGTTTGGTTTAGGAGATTGTCTAGTCATTCCGTTTGATATTGCCGTACTCTTTTGAGATGATCGTATATGCATGTGATCACAATAATGGAGGTAATTAGTTTACATAAGAATATTCCTGTGACTTTGCTATTAGCTTATTATATTGCTAAGTATCCTTATTATAGCTTTAGTTTTCGTAAGAGAAGCTTAGGATACCGTACTTTTGCCTTTGAATTGTTTAATAACCACATTCCACTAGGTGATTAAAAGTACAATTCCGTAATTATTGCTATGATTAGGTTATCCTACTATTTTAAATCTCTGATTACTTTAACATAACTGCAACTTCCATTCACATGGTTGTTCCGGAAAGTACGCAAACTGCCCAACTAGAAACATGAACCATCTATTTGTTTTCTGTCTCTCTTCCTATTTCTCAATAGGCATAGCATTTTGGATCCTTGTGAGTTTGATTTCTGCTTAGAGTTAAAAAGAAAAAATGCAGACGTTTAATCTGTGCAACTCATTCTCCTTTTGTTTCATTAGGTTCTATCTGCTGAGATTATAGATCAACTTCTATAGTATCCAAACTACCAAGATCTTCGGTTACGATGAATTATCTTGCCGATGTGATTTGTTTCTACTGACTTGTGTTGCATACATGCAGACGACTGGATTACAATGGATTTAAAACACTTTGTGTAAAAGTTCAGATATTGTTTTTGCTTGATTCACTTATACAGTATTTGATTTGTTCTTGGGCTACTGCATTTTTCATCAAGAATAGCTGGTTAGATCAATGGGCTGGTGGGTTTTTGTGAGAAATTCCATTAGAGCAGAGAAAGAAGAAAGAGTCATTTTAAGTTTTCATCAGTCAGAGGTAACCACAACAAAAGTCGAAAACAGAGCTGAGAAAGAATAAAGACTCTCCAGGAACAGAGGTCGTCATAACAGTTTCAATGATCCGTTTGTACATTCTATTATTCAGAAATCTCTCCTCTTACTCAGAAACTTTGAAGCACAAAAATCCATATTCCTAGAGAAAAAGTGGGAATAAGCAGAATGGCTCAAGTCAATTCAAGAGGAGGAAGAAGAAGATACAGAAGCAAGCAATGAACAAAACTATCTGCACATTGGGCTGTTGTGAGGTTGGTGTGTAGGAGTCTTAGGGCAGTCCGATGGATGCCGGTAACTCGTCTTATCATCCGCTGCTGCATTGAACTTACACTCCTGCTTAGCTGTGGTTGTCGTCACCAAGTACCCTTCGTTCTTCTCCTCCATTATCTTCAAAATGCTCTCGAAAACAGAAACTTCACACGGAATCCTCAAGACACCGGCTTGTTGAAACCCGAACTCTTCTTCTGCCTCACGCAGAAGAACATAGAAAGCTTGATGGCTGAGGTACTCTGTTGGTATTGTGTACCTCTTCTTCTCTAACCCAACCGAGACAGCTAGATACCCTTTAGGCACAGCTGTTGCATCTGTAAATGACAGTGTCCTCTTCAGAAACTTGATGCTCTTGCTTCCCCCGCCATTGCTGTTGTTGTCTTCGTTGTTGTTGTTGGCTGCTTTTGATGCAATTGCTTGTTTTCGCCATTTCTTGAGGAGCTGTTGAAGCTTCACGATCTCTCTGATCTTGTTTGACTTCTTGGCTTCCATGGTGGAGATAGAAGACACAAGACAAGAGGCTTGGTACTATGTTTTGTTTAGCGTTTGTCTCTTTCTATGTGTGTAGTGATTAGGACGTGGTGTTTTGAGAATTGGGGATATATAGAGGTGGTGACCATGAAATTTTGATTTGATTAATTACAGAATTAGACTTTATTGTTTCTGTTTAAAATATTGTGCTAATCATATGCTTTGGGGTTATTTAAATGATCTAAACCAACTTGAATTTGTTGACAAACAAAATTAAACAGCTTGAACTTAGAAAATTATATTAACATAACGTCAAGATTGTCACCAACACAGACAAGAAGCTGGCTCAAGCATCGCTTAAATCCATGAGACACTATCTATTATTGAGATATACTCGTTTCGTTGCTGCTTGACTCTGATTTCATTCACTCAGGAGAATTCTCGTGCAACAGTACGTACTCTTAGCTGCTGTTGCCAAATACTTATGGTATCTTTCTCAAAAAGCTCGTAGTACCGTTGTGGCTCAATTGGAGTTTCGTTGATGTAAGTATTATTGGTACTACCAAGATCCATAATGTAAGGCATCCCTTGCTTCTTCCTCATCCTACCATCCGGCTGTTTCTCTTTTTCCACCTGGCGGAACTGAATGACAGCATGTTGCTTGCTACAAGATGGGTGATCAGTAGGAATGTCGGCGGTCTTTCTCTCACGTCCAAAGAGGTAGCAGTTTTGGTAATGACTGTATAGTGGCTCATTCAATGGTTCACCATCTTTAAAAACATAAAGTCTCCATCTGTCATTTGGTTTTCTAGCTTTGTACCTGAATTTAACCGAAAAATACAGAATAAAATATACAAATATAGAAAATTAATTTTGGTTCGATTATGCAAGAGTATTTAACTTTGAAGAATATATAACTATCAACATTTGGATATGTTGATTCTTTAAAATATTTGATTGTTTTGAGTCTAAAAATAATTAATATTTTTGAATTTGAAATTAATAGTTTTGGGTATTGTGGATATTAATTTTAGGTATATTTTAAGTTTTCTAGATATTTTGGTTATCGTTTCAGTTTGGTTTGGTTCGATTTCGGTTAGTTTGGATAGAGGATTTTATTAACTATTTAGTTATTTTAGAAACTTCGGAGTGAATGTTTGACAATGAAAAAAAAAATTCGGTGTGAATATGGTTCGGTTCGGTCGGTTATTCGGTTACCGGTTTTTTTCAAGCTTTAGTTGTGATCATAAGAGATCCATTTTGTTCAAAAAAAAAAAAGATCCATTTAGTTCAATAAAATAGATGATTAAATCAAAAAAAAAAATTTGAGACAATAAACAAGAAACAAAAGAATAATAACGTCAATAGAAATGGTGTCACAGTGTCATTATTCTTTAGTCTTTACCTTTAGGAGTAAGTTTTCTTTGTTTCGATATCCTAAATTGTTCGCCACGTGTCAATCACGAAACCACATCCAAATATCCTTGTCGTCTTTCTCCAATCATCAGAAAAAAAAAAAAAAAAAAAATTGTCCCAATTTGATCAAACAAATTCATAAATTCGAAGAAGAGAAATACGAAAAATCTTCTTGTTGGCAAATCTCCGGCGAAATCATCTTCGTTGTTTTTCTAACACGAAACTTTCAGACATGGCGGCCGCGAAACTCGTGGCTTGGTTACTACTTCTCGCCTTGGTTTTCAATTTCACCACTTGTATCTTTGCCGACGCTGGAATCAACGACGGCGAAGAACCGAAACTTAGATCCGACGGCGGTGAAATCGAATTGGATCAGCTTAATGCTAAAATCCGTGCCCTAGGTTACACTCAGTTACTTCAATTTCATTTCTATGTGACTCGTGAAAGTTTGCTATGGCTTGTGCGAATTTCTTAAATTGATTTTTGTTTTCTTCGTTTTGGTTGGTGAAGAATCTCAGATTGATGATAAAACCAAAGAACTTAAAGGAAGAGAAGAGTTAGTAACAGAGAAGGAGAAACTTCTTCAAGAGAGACAAGACAAAGTTGCTTCTTTGGAGACTGAGGTTTCTTCACTAAGGGTAATTTGCATGTTATAGTGTCTCACTGAAATGGCTTCCATGTTCAGTCATAGATTGCTTTATATCAATCATGGATTGTTGTTTTTTGTTTTCAGAAAAAAGGTTCATCAGATTCTGTGGAACTGTTGAGTAAAGCTCAAGCACGAGCTGCTGAATTAGAGAAGCAGGTGAGATCTTTATTTGAGAACCCATCTTTTATATGCATGTAAGTAAGTTGCTAAATTTATATTGTGTGATTATACTTCATGAATTTAGGTTGAGGTACTCAAGAACTTTCTGGAGCAAAAAAACAAGGAGAAAGAATCGATAGAAGCTCGGACTAGTGAAGCCGAGAAGAAACTAAACGAATTGAACTCGAAACTTGAGAAAGTATGTTCTTTACATCCCTTGGTTCATTTTTCTCTTGGCACATATTATTTATTCATTTCAAATCATTTAAAAAGCTTAGCTACTTGTACAAGCGATCTGGTTTTATCTACCTTGCTTCACCTTTAGCTGGAATTTGTTAAGGTTTAAGACTACAAAATTTTATTAGCTCTGAGTCTCGTTCTGTGTTATGGTCTTTTTGTTGGAGTTTTTGTTTCCCACCTATATAATAGCTGTATAAGACAACTTCTTTTTCATACTCGATGATTGGTTCGGATGTAGATATTGGAATTGTATGCAAGTTATGTATGGATATGTGCTTTTTCGGTATGCAAATTTTAATAAGATACTCCTGCAGCTTTACAAGAAAAATGAAGAGCAGAAGAACAAAATACGAAAACTCGAGCGTGCTCTTAAAATTTCTGAGGTATGATGACGCTCTTGGATTTAAGTTTAGTTTCCATCGACTTTTAGTTTCAGCCATCACTCTTGACTCTTGTTAAAATAAAATTATAGGAAGAAATGTTGCGGACAAAGCATGAAGCAACCACAAAGGCTAAGGAACTGATGGAGGTTCATGGGGCGTGGCTTCCCCCTTGGTTTGCTGTACACTGGAGTAATTTTCAGGTAAGATTATTAGATTTTATTTTACGACTTTCCTGCGTAATAGATTTTCTCAATAAACTTGGGCACTTCCTGGACTCAGACTGTTGCTGGAACACACTGGGACGCCCACGGTAAACCAGTTATGGAGAAAGTTACTCAAAAGGTATTGTTAAATCCAATTGTATGGCCATTACCTGTCTCTGAGAGTGATGCCTAACGAAGTTTGATCATTTCTTAGGTGACGGTAGCGAAAAATCAAGCTGAAAAATGGGCTAAACCGCACATGGCTAATGTTAAAACTGTAAGTAACTTACAGCCAATGTGTTTATTACTAAGGAGGCTCTTATGGTTATGCGTACGAAGTTCTATTTCCAGAAATATATTCCAGCCATGAAAGAGACTGTTAAAACGCATGTTGAGCCACACGTTCAAACACTATCTACCAAAGCGAAAGAGGCTTACCATGCTTCCAAGAGTGCTGTTACTCCACATATTGTCAAGTTTCAAGAACATGTAGATCCCTATTACCAGGTGAAGTTTTTTCTAGCTACATTTTTCCATGGATATTAATCTTTCAGCTACATCTATGATGACAATATCCGCTTAATGCGTTTTGTTTTTGCTCTCCAGGAGGCTAAAAAGTTTAGCAAGCCGTACGTTGATCAAGTAGCCACGGCCACAAAACCACATGTTGATAAGGTGAGAGCTACCATAAAGCCTTACACAAAGAAGACAATTCACTATTACAAAGAGTTCCTAGAATCTGCCTCAACATATCACCATCAGGTCAGAATCGGAGGCACTGTGTATATAATTTATGGACACTCTAGTTATGAGTAGGGCCATTTCTGGAGGAAAGTGTTGTCTTTTAAGCTGATAAATATTGTCTTGAATCTGTGAAGCTTCAAGCCAATGTCGAAACGAAATTGAAGAGCCATGAGCTGATGGAACCTTTTGCCACCAAAGAGTTCACTTGGTTTGCAGTATGTTATCTGGTCCTGCACTCTAAGACAACATGCTTTTTTGTTGTTTCCTCTATCAGCTTAAAATTGATAACCCGTTCACTGCAGGCCTCTGCTTTGTTGGCGTTACCCATCTTCATAGTGTACAAATTCCTCTGTTCGCTCTTCTGGCAAGTTTCTTAAATCATTATTTATAATATGTTTAAATTAGTTTGCAGTATATTGCTCTCTAGTTTTAAAGATACGCCATCCTTGATTCCGCCAAATGACCTTTAGTTTGTTTGTTGTATGTTTATGCAGCACAAAGACAAAGAAGCCTACCCGACAGCCACATCACCATACTCGCCGTAAGGCCAAAAGGGGTCATTCTGACAAGTGAAGTCACATGATTGTGTTGTTGTCACTTCCTCGTGCTATAAATATTAGAGGTATATCTCACTTTCTGCTTAAATACACGTGTTGTGGAACGGATCACGAACAAAGAGAGCTGTGGTTACTGAATAGATCGATAGGCCAAGCCAGAACTTACTTTCCATAGACTTGAGTCTGTCTGATGTTGATATGTGGATAGTGTGCAGGTTTCCGAATCCTATATGCATTGTCATTTTGTCTAATGCAAAACGCTTTCATATAATAGTGTATAAGCTATTAGAGTCTAGTGACTGACGTTATAACTCTTGGAGTGATTTGTGTCTAGTGTTTCATGATCTTTATCTATACTCTTGCAGGTAAAGACGGGTTTTGATGTGTTCTCTGTGAGCCTTAGCAACAGTCTATATGTTTTCTTCGTTACGTATGAAAGAAATAGCTTATGTTAAGAGGTATCTTATGGGTCTTTTTTTAATCTCGCTGTGCAAAAGTGTTCTTCACTCTCTCCGTTTTTGAGATGCCTTTTGAATATAAAGTTTTCAGTCTTTTTATACAGAGAAGATTAGACATCCAGAGGAAAATCTAGTAAGGGCTTGTTTTGTGTATTTTGTGATTCATGTGGATAGATTTGGTACTTGCTTCATTACTCTTTAAAAAAACTATCACTTTTGTCTTTTGTCTTGTTGAAAACTATTTCTCAAAAATCGAAATCAAATTGGGAATTGTTACAGCTTTTATTTTATTTGTAACTAAAAATCATAGAGCCAGACCATAATTGGTTTGACTAGTCTTCGATTCTTAACATTTTCCTAGAATAGGTAAACAAATGCAATAATAAAGAAAAAAACAACCAAAAAAAGTTTTACCAACAAGTAAATGGAATTTTCTTCCTCCTGCAAACAATATAAAAACCATAACATAAACTGACAATTACCAATCAATAAGATGGCCAGTATCCATCCAAGTCCATGCACTGGCTCATCTCCACATTTCCAAACCCGTTTTCCCCATTGAACGAAGCACTAACCGCGGCAACATCCTCGAGTGACACAACAGGAGGCGGCTGGACCAGTGCACCACCAAGGTTGAGACTGAGCCCTGAGACAGGCATGTGGGTGTAGTTCATTAGCTGCTGATGAGCAGAGTCCATGTTGGTGCTTGTGGAGGCACGGAAGACTCTAGAGAGCTCGGCTAGGTGAACCGCATTAGCCATGAGGGATTGGTTGATATTGAGGCTCGGGTGTGGTTGTAGATGCGGTGGGAGTTGAAGGAGGTCTGATGAGTAATTAGTGTTGTTGTTGTTGGTTGATGAGAGTATTGAGGCTCTTGTGTGATTGTGGTTATGGTTATGATGACTTGTGCTACTACTACTGCTGCTTATGTATTTCTTGGTTGCTTCTGTTTTCTTGAACACTCTACACACTACCCACTCGTCTTGCTGCATTTACATGTTACATCATGAAAAATGAAATGAGAATTCTTTAAACATACGAGTTAGTCACAGTGAATATATAACAAGAAGATCAGCAAAAACTCGATAATCGAAGTCATTAGCTAAAAAAAAGCGTATACCTTGGAGGTTCTATAGGAAGACTTAGAGTGAAGTCGATACTCATGCATGACCCAACTAGTCTTCTCCCCACGAGGAGCTCGTCCTCTATAAAAGACCAAAGTCTTCTTCATCCCGACCAACTCCGAGGTTGTGCTATTGAATATCTCTTTGTCTTTTCCTGTGGTTTTCCAATATCCTGTATTCGTTGCTCTATTCGTCCTCACTCCCGTCGGGTACTTCCGGTCTCGGAGGCTAAAAAAGTACCATTCTTTTCCGCCCATTTTTGCCTTCTCTATTAACATTATACTCAAACAGAAACTTTGTGAATAACTTTGCGAGTTAGCTGACGTTTTTTTTATCAAATAATTAAGCTCTTTCCCAAAATATTAACATGTCACTACTAATTAAATTAATATATGCATTTTTTTAAGTGAAAATGTAAATATGTGGTGAAAGATTTTGGATTATTGAAAATTTCGTTATTTTAAAAATTGGGTTAGTTTGGAACCAATATTAGAAACAAAGATATTGTTAGTTTATCAGATTATGGATAGAACTAATTAAAGACAAAATAAGTAGATGAGAAATTAACGTACGTACGGTAGTGAATGCATGACTTCCGTTCATGTAACTAATGTTTGTTAGGAAACTTCATTGTGTGACTTTCTATTTTAAAGATATATGCTTACTATTTTTTCTTAATAACCGAGCTTATTTTATTTTTTTTACAGAAACTTTAACTATTCTATAGGCTTTTTTTAATTTGGATAAATATATTCCATACATTTACATTTCATGCCTCCTTCACATTTCTTAAAATCTATAAGAAAAGATATTTGTTGATTGTGGATGTGATATCTAATGAATTAAAACTGATGAACATTTGTTTTACACTAACCGACTTACGATTAGTAATCAAGAATGTACTCATGATATTATTGCAATTTCATTAGGCATAAAATATAGATAGTGGGTGTTATGAACTTTTAGATGCTTCCCAAAGTAGAAAAACCATTTAACATATGAACACTATGTTGTCCGCTTAAATATATACATTCACACATTTATGTGTATATGCATGTGTACATGGAGTATATCCATATACACATCCATGGAGTATATCCATATACACATCCATGCACATTTATTGGTATATATATGACATGTTCAGATGTTCTTAACACTATATTTTATGATTCATTTATGTCATGTACTCATGTGTGTATATATGTGTGAAGATATCGAAACCAATATGCATATATAAAGACACGTATTGCTTTGGCTATCTTTAAATCCAAAGAAATTAAGGTCTTACCAAGTTTGAATAAAATCGAAGATATATATATCAATATATACATGTATCCACCCATTAAAAAAAAACTATTTTTATAAATATCATATACATGTGATCTTTTGTGTGTACGAAGAAAAGACTTAAGACAAATTAACGTACCAGGAAGCTCCCATGGCTCGGACTTGTTGAGATCAACGTCAGCGATTGCTTTTCCGGTGAAGTTTTGATCGGCGATCTTATTAACCAAGTAGTATGAGATTAGCTCCTCATCAGTTGGATGAAATCTGAAACCCGGTGGCAAAGCTTCTTCTTCTTTCTTCTGCTGTTGATGATCTCCTTGTTCCATTTTATATGATCTTTAGTTTACTCCAAGTCCAAGACCCTTTTTATACCTACTTGAAACACAAAGGAACATGTCTAAGTTTCACCATCCATGAGAATAAGAGAGGACATAGATCCTAACGTTCTACAAATGTTTAACCCTAAGATAAAGGTACTAAAGGAGGAATTCGAAAGAAGAAAATAACAAGATATATATATCTGTAATGATAGGTATAGGGTGAGATATTGGGCTTACTTGTATGGAAGAAGAAAATCAGACAACCAAAACTTTTATGAGATTAGGGTTTTGATGGTATTTATATATCATGAGACAAGGATGACTTGCGACTATTCTAAGGAGGAAAAGATGAAGGAAGAAGACAAAGAGTAGGTTTTTTCTTCTTTTCTTCTTACTTAGTCGTGCATGGGATTTAAAAAACAATTATTCTAACTCGGTTTTGCCTTATATCTATTAATTTATAATAGATAAACATATTTATCATTTTTATAAGTTTTGTTGGAATATTAGGAAACCCAATTATCATCCAAGTTTGAAAGACATAAAATTTTCAAATGAAGACTGCTTTTGTAAGAATTTGCATTTCAGTGTTTATGTGATTTTTTTATAAATAATCAAATAACATTAATTACTATCTTATTGAGTAGAAATTATAATGTAGAAAAAAGAGGAAAATGTGGAAGAGAGAGTGTGCATGAAGCTCTCACCTAATAAGGGTCTTCAAGTACAAGGTACACGCAGCTGAACCCCCCACGTCCAAATTTTATCCTTTGTTTATTTTGTGTAGTTGGTCAAGAAATTCTCCTTTTAGGAACCTTATTAATTCATCTTACCTTATACATATATACTCATATACACACACTCACATGTGTATATCCCTTATATATATGAATGAACTACGTGTTGATGCATGTTGGTGTCGGATCTCGCGCGATCCGGTCCATTTTGTGCTAATCATGACTCATGAGTCTCAAAAAATTGACATGTCTGGTTTGTAAATGGGTCAATGGTCAGTGGTTAAAGAGTCAAATGGTCTAAATCTTAGCATTAATATATGATTTAATTCATATGGAGGGATCCAATTTTTCTCACCGTCTTTTCCACAAAAACAATTTTGTTCCAAATATTAGCTATATTCTTCCATATAATTAAACACATATAAATAAAAAATTAATGAAGATTTTTTTCTCCCATTTATATTTATTATTTTACTTGAATTAGTATTTATATACGAAAAAATTGATCATATTTTATGAAACAAATCATGCTGAATTCTTCATTCATAACTTGGTCGCATCTCTGTTGAAAATCAAATCAAAGACCTCTCGTAAGAAAGGAGATTTGATGGTCGAAATTTCCAAATGTGGCCTTAAACTGTTCTCCTCTACAATCTTCTTAGAGAAGTACTAAGTGTTAAGTCACCTCTTCACGAAGAAGTAAATCTCAGCTCATTGAAACTAAGTATTGAATTTCCTCTATGTCGTAATAAATTTCAGCTTGCTGAAACTAAGTGTTAAGTTTTCTTTTTAGGGAAAAGTAAATTTCAGCTCGTTGAAAAGTGTTGAGTATCCTCTTCACGGAGATATAAATTTTAAACACATATAAATAAAAAATTAATGAAGATTTTTTTCTCCCATTTATATTTATTATTTTACTTGAATTAGTATTTATATACGAAAAAATTGATCATATTTTATGAAACAAATCATGTTGAATTCTTCATTCATATATAACTTGGTCGCATCTCTGTTGATAATCAAATCAAAGACCTCTCGCAAGAAAGGAGATTTGATGGTCGAAATTTCCAAATGTGGCCTTAAATTGTTCTCCTCTACAATCTTCTTAGAGAAGTACTAAGTGTTAAGTCACCTCTTCACGAAGAAGTAAATCTCAGCTCATTGAAACTAAGTATTGAATTTCCTCTATGTCGTAATAAATTTCAGCTTGCTGAAACTAAGTGTTAAGTTTTCTTTTTAGGGAAAAGTAAATTTCAGCTCGTTATCCTCTTCACGGAGATATAAATTTTAGCTGTACAATCTAAGTGTTGAGTTCACTCTTCATAAATATATTCAGTTCGCTGAGTCTAAGTGGTGAGTTTTTTCTTCACACAGAAGTAGAGTTCATCTTTATAAGATTGTATCGAGCTTACTATTAACGAAAAAAATATTTTAGCCAAGTTGATCTCTCGAATTGTATGCTTAATCTAATAATAATTTGGTTCCAAGTTTCTAACTACATTTATTATTTTTCCTTAATTGGGTATGTAACCACTGCTCTACCGGCGCCCCAAGATGTGGTTAGGTTATTTTTGTCTTAATATTAGTGTTAATGAGCGTTTTTTCAAGAGATTAGAATACAATATGCTAAATCATTAAAAATCAGAAAAAAAAATGTTGAATGACTATAACTAATATGAACAAAAATCTCTTCTGATCAAGACCGCAAAATGACCAATGTTAGTTCCATATTTAATATATCTAAGATCATATATGGATAAGTTTGTGTGTGTGTAATTTGAGTCTCCTTCAATCATATCTTAAGGATTTCATGTGATCATTCAACAACCCGCGGATTAATTTGCTCCGATAGTAATCAAAAAGATGAAAAAACGTTTATCATTCTTTATGGTCAGCACAAATACATATTTGGAAATTAACCTAGCATTTTAGGTACCCTCACTTCGAGATCATTTGTATAAACTTAATATAAAGTCATATATTCTTTACGGTCCAAATATTGCGGACACATTGTTGGTTTTCTTCCTAACTTTTTCCGACGTCTTGTCCTAAAATATTGATTTTGTCCGACAAAAAAAGGTGCATAGATCTAATTAATTATTGGAAACCCAACATTTCACTTTGAAATTCCGGTTTGACTGACTAGTGGTAGGATAGAAATAACTTGAAACAAAACAACAACACAACTTGGAAAGATTTTTGATTCAAATTCTCATAATTAGAAACAACTCGCTTGGACTACGTCGTCAAAAGTAAATGAAATAATTGAACAATATAGCTTACTAGACATTTAATATTTAATCAAATAAA